TATAGCTGTCATGCTTTATTTATATATAGGTTATAGCTGTCATGTTTTTTATTTATATATAGGTTTATTGTTGTCATGTTTTATTTGTTTATATTAGGTTTATAGCTGTCATGTTTTATTTATTTATAGGTTTATAGCTGTCATGTTTTATTTATATATATAGGTTTATAGCTGTCATGTTTTATTTATATATATATAGGTTTATAGCTGTCGTGTTTTATTTATTTATAGGTTTACAGCTGTCATGTTTTATTTATATATATATAGGTTTATAGCTGTCATGTTTTATTTATTTATAGGTATATAGGTTTATAGCTGTCGTGTTTTATTTATTTATAGGTTTACAGCTGTCATGTTTTATTTATATATATATAGGTTTATAGCTGTCATGTTTTATTTATATATATATAGGTTAAAGCTGTCATGTTTTATTTATTTATAGGTTTACAGCTGTCATGTTTTATGTATATATATAGGTTATAGCTGTCATGTTTTCAATTTCAATTTCAATTTCAATTTCAATTTGTTGGATTAGAATTTTCCTTTTCTTATTTTTTTTCTTGCGAAAGTAAACAAAGTGTCACCGAGGGATTGAGTTATGATGTATCAACTTTTCCACTCAAACTCATATCAGATAAATCATTTTGAACAAAAGATCAAGATTAGATGCAAAACAAGAATTTAAAGCTTAGTGATTAAAAATTATTCATTACATGTGGCTGGTTCGGATCCTCAAAGGTATTGAAGATTTAATCTGAAGTGCCTGTCCATTTAAAGGGACAGACCGGCTATGAAAGGTAGTTGAACTGAGTATGCAGTGTTGTGGGCAAATTTTTTAGGATTCATTTGAGACATATAACACTTTTTAAAGATTTGTAAATCCTGAGTTTGAGAGCAAAGTCGACGTTCAAAATCGTACTTTTGGGTGGATACTTTAGAATCCCTTTTTTTTAATTACTAAATAACGACGACGAAAAATAAAGTACAAATTATACAGTGATCTAATTAGATGGTGCGATTTTGAACTTCGATTTACAGATTTTTAAAAAGTTTAATATGTCTCAAATGAATCCTAAGAATTTGTCTACAAAACTGCATACTTAGTTCAACTACCTTACATAACCGGTCTGTCCTTTTAAAGCAGCGTATATCATGTTCGATTCAAATTTTTTTTTGAAAGATACTCTTAGAAGATGTTTTTTCTCACTCAAAGTACTGAACGTTTTGCTCTTTTTACTTTTTATTGTTGAAGATGCATCGTAAGATAAAATTAAAACAAAACTTTGAATGCATAGAGCTGAAACAATGTAAACACAAAAAGTATTTTCAATCATTAATTTTTGTTAAATAGAACTTTCGACTTAGTTTCAAGCAAGGTTTCATGATAAGGTTGGTTAATTTTCGATGCGCTCTAATGTATAAAAAATGTTGTCTCCTAAGATAGGTAGATTTTCAAGTCCATATCACTAAGATGCCACCAGCCCGATTCGTAATGGTTTCTCGTTTTCTTTCGTGAAAATTGATACTTTTTTATTTCTCTCTTTTGTGTTACTCAAATAAATGTCGAAATGGTACCGTTTCAAATTTATCAAGGGTAACCGGAAATGACGTCGAAGTCTTTTGAGATATGTTCTTTCATTTAACAGAAAAGTAATCTTTTATCTTATTATTTTCATGATTTGATATAATATCATCATTCCCAGTAAAAGTGGAAGATCAGACCTTGCCAAGTTATTCAGAATATATTTCCGGCCACTTAACTTTTTCTATAGGAGGGCTTTTACAGATTCTAGTTACTCTACTTGTCCGGCATTATAGTTTTCATAACCTAGACCTTTTTACAGTACAGTACAGTACAGTACAGTATTATAGTTTTCATAACCTAGACCTTTTTACAGTACAGTACAGTATTATAGTTTTCATAAACTAGACCTTTTTTTCTTTTCTTTTGGAACAAAAATGTATGATATTCGTGGATTTTCCTGACTGTCTTTGTGCATTTTTAAAAATCAAAAATATTTAGTAAGGGGATTTTTAAATCTCTGGTGTTTCACAAAGTTTGACCCGATTGATTGCTTGACGTTTTTTTATGCAAACAAACAAACATTACATTAAGCAAATATATACAAATATAATAATGTAGATGCGTAATCCTATTCCTACAGAGGAGAGGAGGACTTACTGTATTTGGACATCATTCAAGAAATTATCTGGTTCGAGGCATACATATGATGTCCTTAACTTAAGATTAAATGCTTAACTACGGCCACGGCCCCCTGGGTAGGACCGGACGCAAGCTCTAAAATAGGGTTTTAAAAATAATTTTGAATGAATTCCATACTCATGATATCATTTAAACAAATTTCTAAGATTTTAAAATTTTCAAAACTTTGAAGAACAATTCTTAATATTTTAGGATTTTAGACAAATTTAATATAGAAAGTACAATGTCCACTAAATCTGGAAAAATCTGTAAAATATTTATAAAGTGTTTGTAACATTATTTGATTTCGATGAAAATAAAATAAAGAACCTAGCGGGCTTATGNCCTCCCACCTGGCAAATGTTTCCAAATATCCCCTCCCACCTGGCAAATGTTTCCAAATATCCCCTCCCACCTGGCAAATGTTTCCAAATATCCCCTCCCACCTGGCAAATGTTTCCAAATATCCCCTCCCACCTGGCAAATGTTTCCAAATATCCCCTCCCACCTGGCAAATGTTTCCAAATATCCCCTCCCACCTGGCAAATGTTTCCAAATATCCCCTCCCACCTGGCAAATGTTTCCAAATATCCCCTCCCACCTGGCAAATGTTTCCAAATATCCCCTCCCACCTGGCAAATGTTTCCAAATATCCCCTCCCACCTGGCAAATGTTACATGCCCCCTGTGACAGAAGGAAGAAATGCCCCTGGAATTGTGAATTATTGGTTTGCTTCGCGCGAAATTTTCAAATATCCCCCCCCCACAACCCTGTAAAATGTTATATGCCGCCCCTGACACACCCTCTGTGAGTATGAAGAAACGACCCTGAAATTGTGAATTATGTAAATTGGTGTGTGTTCCTGCCAACTTATACTGAACATCCTAAAGTTCAAAGGAAATTGTTTAAATCCCGAAGAATAGAGGCACAAGAATAGACAAGAGTAGAACTAGGATAATGAAAGAAAGGGAATATATCCGAACCAATTTAAGAATCACAAAGACCCGTAGGTTTTATGGGATTAAGCTGGGGATTAGATAATGTCTGCCGGTATCTACAGGGTGTCCCTATAAACACGGGAATTAAGAGACGACTTTAATGTCGTCTTTAATTTCCAATAATTGATAAAGGTCATAAAGTGCATCAAAAAATGATTAAAAGTTCAATAACCTTTCCAAAATGTAGTCTACCATCTTTGAAATTGAATCTTTAACATTGACGAAGATATTAAACATTTGATGAGTTTTGTTGATTTTTAATAAACTGAAATCTTGCGCGTAAATCAAATCTAAAGGAGCTACGAGCTAACAAATATGTCACATAATTTTAACATTTTGTCAAGTTGTGTGTGATTTGTAAATCTTCGTTGAAATTAATGATTTCCGTTACAGATAATTTGTATCTAAAGAGTTTAATATTTTTATCTAAAGAGTTTTATATTTTTATCTAAAGAATTTTATATAAATATCTGAAGAGTTTAATATTTGTATCTAAAGAGTTTTATATTTGTATCTAAAGAGTTTTATATTTGTATCTAAAGAGTTATATATATGTATCGAAAGAGTTTTATATATATATCTAAAGAGTTTTATATATTAATTTAAAGAGTTTTAAATATGTATCTAAAGAGTTTTATATATGTATCTAAAGAGTTCTATATAAGAGTTCTAAATATGTATCGAAAGAGTTTTATATATATATCTAAAGAGTTTTATATATTAATTTAAAGAGTTTTAAATATGTATCTAAAGAGTTTTATATATGTATCTAAAGAGTTCTATATAAGAGTTCTAAATATGTATCGAAAGAGTTTTATATATATATCTAAAGAGTTTTATATATTAATTTAAAGAGTTTTAAATATGTATCTAAAGAGTTTTATATATGTATCTAAAGAGTTCTATATAAGAGTTCTAAATATGTATCGAAAGAGTTTTATATATATATCTAAAGAGTTTTATATATTAATTTAAAGAGTTTTAAATATGTATCTAAAGAGTTTTATATATGTATCTAAAGAGTTCTATATAAGAGTTCTAAATATGTATCGAAAGAGTTTTATATATATATCTAAAGAGTTTTATATATTAATTTAAAGAGTTTTAAATATGTATCTAAAGAGTTTTATATATGTATCTAAAGAGTTCTATATAAGAGTTCTAAATATGTATCGAAAGAGTTTTATATATATATCTAAAGAGTTTTATATATTAATTTAAAGAGTTTTAAATATGTATCTAAAGAGTTTTATATATGTATCTAAAGAGTTCTATATATATATCTAAAGAGTTTTATATTTGTATCTAAAGAGTTTTATATTTGTATCTAAAGAGTTATATATATGTATCTTAAGAGTTATATTTATATGTATCTAAAGAGTTATATATATGTATCTAAAGAGTTTTATATCTAAGAATTAACACATTTTATAGTTTTGATGTGTTCCGAAGTGTGGAAAGTTTATTATAAAAGTAATCTCAGAGAAAGTTTTTATCTAAAGGCTGAGAAAGAACAGCTGTGTTTGATGCTGTGTCAAATGTCCAATGTGCTAAAGCTTGACTGCAGTGCATCAGAAGAAAAACAATTTGCAAACACTTTTAAAAGATTTAAACTTTTTGATTAGTTTAGCTGCAGAATACTAACTGCATAGACTAAATTGAAATAAATAATCAAATAATTTTAAAACAAAAATTTGGTATACAACATTTATTGATATTCTTATTATTCGTGCAAGTAAAAAAGTGTGTTTAGGCTTTTTTTTAGCCTAGAAAACATAGTTATAATGTGTTAAAAAGTGCTTCTTTTTAGAACAAACACATAAATTGGTGGGTCGTCGATGAACGATTGTTCTCAAAATTGCCGTTTCAACCTTCAAAATTGGGTCAAATATTCGAAAATGTTGTTGCAACGATATAGAGATAACAAATCTGAGTTTATTGCAAGAACTCAGTTCTTTGGAAAATCAGAGTTTGTATTAAGTTTAATAATTTTATTTGAAAACAAACATTCTAATTTTGTGTATTTCAGATTTCTACAAAAAATGTTTTCTAAAATGTTGACAGATACTTTGGTACTCTTACTCTGTACTGCAGCTACTGCTGGGGAAAACGGTAAATTTCCTGGATTTAATCCTACATTTGCCCCTGGACCGGTGGTAGCCGTTCGGAATTTAATCCTATATATGCCCCTGGACCGGTGGTAGCCGTTCAGGATTTAATCCTACATATGGAAGGATTCACAATGGTACCCTTCCTTATAGTTACTCATCTAGGTGAAACAGTTCCGTCGCGTGATACGAACATTTCACTTGAAGATGTGTCATTGTAATTGTTAAGTCATGGCATCTTATCATTATCATAGTTTATTACAAAATCCATGAATTTCGTATATAACCATTGTGAAAACCTGTATCTATTCTAAACATAGGGATCAGAGATTTGAATTTCAATCCATCTATTTATGTAAAAATATTTTGAAAAGAATATCTTTGAATTCTGTTTTTTTTTATGGAAATGGGTATTTTTATCCAAATATTGTTTATCCTTCAAGGGTCTGTTCTCGTTACTTCAAGTAACCTTTCATTTAAAGAGGGGTTTAATTCCAGAGAACTTAATAAATATATATTTCAGAAGCCGTGAAATAATAAAAAACTGGCTTATCTTCAAGCGACCCATGTTCTCAAGCCTCAATTTAAACGTTTTTTTTTATCCTTGACAACTACGAAAAATGTTAAAACTAAGTGGCGAACAAAAATCTTTGTACATAGCTCTTGATTACAACTCAAAATGTTTATTTTCTATTTTTACCATTCAGAATTTTTTAGTTTTAATGTTTGAACTACATAAGAAGACGACATTATTATAGCTATACTTGAGTGTTTTTGATGTGTTACAAAGCAAATAGTTTTACTTAAAACTTATTAAACCACTAATTTAGTGAAACAGGTCTGTTTACACTTCACAATTGCTCTGTTTCGTGTTTTTGGACTATATAAGAATTAACTTGATTCTTTTTAAAGTTATCTGCACTGTGTATTAGACCGACAATTTTCAGTAGATTGAACACTATCGGGTTAAAATTGAGGCTCTAGCATTAACTTCTGGGTTGTAAGTTATTATTATTATCATTATTTGTTATAATTCAGACGATGTGGTTCATGTGGCTGGTTTGCTTGGCGGGTCAGCTAGGTTACCGTGTGATACCACACTACCCACCAAGGTAGTTCTAAGGAAGATTTTTCTAATCCCTATATCTTTGCAACCAAATTATGTAAACCTTTCAAACCAGAAATCATAGTTTTAAATCGGGTTGCAAAGATATAGGGATCAGAAAATCAATTCCAGACCTCGATATCATTTACGAAAACTTTTGAGTTCAATGGAATGAAATCTTTATTCAAAAAAGTAAAATTTGAATAAATCAAATAAATCGCAATATCTCCGCTGTAGCTTGTAAAATTTTGCAACACAACTTGTCTGCCAAAAAATTCCAAGTATTGCTATCAAGATTGCAATCAATTTCTTTTAGAAGTTTGTTGTTACTTTTTCTTGAAAAATGTGTTGGTTTTAATTGTATTAAAGAAAGTAAAAAAAAGATATAATTTGAGTTTAAGGTTTCATTCAAGAATTAAAACATCTTATTTTTGACCTAATAACAACTACACACATGATTCCCTCAAAATGCAAAATTCATTTAAAACGACCATGACGTGCATTCTATAATTCTGAGGATCATCTTTGAGCGATATATATGCCACAAATTCTGATGTTATTATTTATATGTTTTTGCAACCTTATGGGGTAGGTTTAAATAAATATAGATTTTAAATTAGCAAATTAGAAAAATAAAAAAATAGAAAATGTGAGTTTGTGGCAAAGACTCAATTATTTTCCGTTTGTTCGCAGGAGAACCCTGTTATTCTTGTAATATGGTTGAAGGAGCCTGCACCGAACCCAATATATACGTAAGTTTTTAATCAGTTTTATAATATTCAAAATACTAGGATGTAATTCAAAACAAAACCGACAAAAAAGTTAACGGATTTTATAAGAAAATGTCCTGAATTTTCATAATTCAATGGAAATCGAATTCTGTTGGTGGCTAATTTTTGAAATTTTTCTCATCAACAAACCTTCCCTGGGGTCATGTGAGGTCCCACACAAAATTCAGGCCTGATCGGTTCAGCCGTTTTGTCGTTTATTGGATACAACCATACAAACAAAGTATGTATATGCTATAAGTGTTACGAGATATATATCATTGAACATTATTAGTATTCATCCTTTCTTACAAAGAATAAGACTGTAAAGACGACCTAAAACTCTTCAAATTTGACGATTCCGAGGTTGAATTAAGTCTTTTGCTTTGAACCTAATCTTTTTCTGGCTTTTTCAATGATTAGACAAAAAAAAACAGTTAAGAGTTGCATGGAATCATAAGTATAAGGAAGCAGACAGTACAAATTCTGTACAATTGTCGCTGAAATCTCATCCTTAGGTAGCCCGAGATGGAATTTAAAGAATTTGAGCCGCGGTTTAAATCCGCCAAAACCCGGTTAAAATTCAGCGCCGACTTAAATCTTGAAACATTTGATACAATTTTAACCAACAATATTTAAACCGCGGCTTAAATTTAAACCGCCGCTCAAATTCTTTAAATTCGGCCACCGGTATGTTATTATCTTTCGTCTCATTTTGTCATTGTTCTCTTTTCTAGTTCGTATTCACAATGTTCTTGATTTTTTTATTTACACCTTTTGCTATTTTGGGGTAATTCATAAGTAAGTAAAGACAACCTTAAACATTCCCAGAAAGGTGGTTTATAGTGCATGGATACTACACAATTCTTTAGCAATTTTAAATTCAAGACAATACTTTTAAAAAAGTACTGGGTTAAAAATCAATTTCATTTAAAAAATACTTTAAAAATATGTAAACACAAATTTAGTTTGCATGAAAATTTTCTTTCCGTGAGAAAACATTAAATAAAAAATACTTTCTCCTCCTATTGGAGATTTCTAAGGATTACTTTGAGTGCTGTAAAAATATTGAGAACCCTATATATATCAACTGAACCAACATTGATTCATGGAGTTTTTAGTTTTTCATGGAGAAAAGAAAAAATGGAGTGAAATTCTCATACAGTATGGTAACAGAAAACTAATGATAACAAATAACAAAGGGTTCAAGAATAACCATAGAGGAAGGACTAATTGGAGTATAATATATCAAAGGTCTTACAAATTTTATGGAGTATTGATAAATGGAGTAACAAATATAAAAGGATTCACAGTTTTCACGCAAAGGTAAACTTTTATGAACTGCTGGCATAATTACAAGAGTGAACCACAAAATAAATTGGTTGAATGTGCGATTTAGAAGGGTGGCCTTTACCCATCTGCTCAAAAAGAGAATTCTCTCAATTGAAGAAACTTGGGGGATTCATACAAGAGAGAGATTTTAGGGCGCTTTGACCCCATCTTCTATTTTGTGGATTTTGTAATATTTTTCGTGGATTTTCATAACTTGGCAAAACTCAAAAAGTTTGGAGACACATTTTGGAATTCTAAGCATCCATAAACCTTTTCTGGGTTCATGTGAGGTCCCACAAAAAATTTGTGCCCGATCGGTTCAGCCGTTTTGACGTTTATTGGATACAATCTAACAAACAGACACCCAGAAAAGCAAAATATATATACAGATTAAGCAATGAAAGGTATCTCATTCTCATGGAGGTAGTTTGAAATCATAAAACCACTTTTTTTAAGAAAAAAAAATGTAAAATTGTTACGACTCATCCTCTTAAGAATCTAAAAATCTCATCATAATTTAAGAAATGAGTTTTCATATTTTTACATGTGAGTAAATGCTAATCGATATAAAAGTGTTAATAAAATACATGAATACAGTTTCAATCTCGGGGGCAGAGCCTTTTATAATTGTAAGTTTTCCTTTATTTCTGTTATTGAAATATGCACAGAAATCATACAGAGTGTCCCAATAAACACGGGAATTAAGAGATGGCTTAAATATCGTCTTTGATTTCTAATAATTGATACATGACATGAAATGAGTTTTCATATTTTTATTTCCGGCCATGTGATTAAATGCTAATCAATAAAAAAGTGAAGGAAGGTAGTCAGTGAATATTATTCTAAACTAATTAGTTTTCTGACTCTGTCTTTCGTGTTAAAAAGTATTTTTCAGGTAAAAAATTTTTAACCAAAATTCCATGGACAATTTATTCTCTGCACATCATAAAACTAAATATTTTAAGTATTTTCTTCTTGATTTATGCAGGATTCCATTTTATTCTTTTTTATTTCGACCGCAGTCATAAATCTTTCCACCACGGGCGATGTGACGCAGTTCTTAGCAAAATTTCGATCCGATCGGATCAGCTGTTTTGATCTTTTTTGGCAGCGGATTAAGCAAAGAAACATACAATCCAAGTAGAGCTGTATATATATATATATATGTAAAAATAACATTTAGAGAAATTAATTAGATGCTGTTAGGATTAACGTTATTTGTTGGATATATTAAGGCTTAGACTCCGGGAAACATGTTTTTTTTTATAAATACATACATTTACAATAAAATAATGAAAAGAAAAATATTATTTCTTGTCTGTTTCCAATCATCCATAAACTTATTCATTTGATGGATCCCCGTTGAAGCAAACAAATAGTTTTCTTTATCAGCTAATGGTTTACAATAGGCACCACCTTAAACAAGGAGGGGGGTATTTCTAAATTACATTCGGTTATAAAGCTGTGAACGCCGGTAACACCGATGTAATTGTAGGCCTATTGCCTAATTACACATTTTGTCGAAAAGAACGTGATGGAAGTTAATAATCGATTTAAAAACATTGTGTCCAGTAGAACTTAATGGTTTATAAATATTTGTCCAATAGAACGTGATGGAAATTAATGATCTATTTAAAACGTTAAAAATATTTTTTCCAATATTACTTGATGGAAATTGAAAATCTATTTAAAACGTTAAAAAAACATTGCGTCCGATAAAACGTAATCGCCAAGTTGGTTTTCTATTTAAAACGTTTAGAAACATAGTCTTCTGAGTTCTGACGTATTTTTTATGAAATCTGTAAACGAAGCATATTCATTTGTATCACTCCTTGCATTTCTTACGTGGATAGTTTTCTCTCAACTTTTTCTATTTTTAGGTATGATTTAAGAACTGATGGGAGAGGGAATCATTGGTACGACAGTTTCAATCTCGGGGGTAGAGCCTTTTATAATGGTAATTTTTTCATTTATTTCTGTTATTCAAATATGCAAACTATGAGTTCTTTTAGATAAAATATTCAAAGTTTTAAATATCAAAGATTCAAACCATCAGGTTTTAAAGAAGTTGGGTTTAGAAATTTTGAGTTTGTGTCAAAAACTCAATTTCTTTCCTAATATTTCCGTCAATTTAGAAGGTGAAAAAATTGTAGAACACATTTTGGAAATCCCAAGACTACTAATTTTCGATGTTGAATGTTTTAACTGTGATACTACAAGCTTATGTTATCTAAACAATTCGCTTACAAGTCGTCATTTGATTCCCATGTTTATTTGGACACCCAGTATCTAAGCTAGCTAGCTAAGGATTTTGTTCAAAGAAAGTTACCATTATTATTTTCGGTCAATTTTTTTTTTACAAAACATAATTTATACAAGAAAAACTGTTTTAAGTTGAACAAATGTTTATTTCTCCGTTTCAGGCTGTAAAACCACCATGTTATCCATATGTTTTGCATTCTTAACCCTATTCCTGCTGGGGAAGGGGGTGGTGGGGGGGGGATTAAGGTTGTTGAAATTTTCTGACTTTCCTCAATACTCATAGCCCTCCTTTTAGGAATAAAACCGGGCTTTTTACTAACTGCCTGAGTCCTCAGACACACTGTCTAAATGACTCCTTTTTCCTGTAGCAAACAAAATTTTTGTTTTGACCCACTTTTAGTTTTCAGATTTTGATAATTTTTGGAAAGCCTACGAATTAAGAAAACGGATTTCACAAGTTTTGCAAAGAAATTGTTGCTAATTATTTGCATACAACCAGTCAAAAGTAATTTGCACTTTGCACTACCAGGTTATTTCAAATTTTGCTAAAAAAATGCAATACAATTTTTGCTATTTTTTTTTTGCATATTTTAAAAGTAGAGCTGAAGAGCTTTCCAATGATGTATCAAATGTCAAATTTGGACATCAAAAATGGGATTTAGAGAGGGGGGGTCAAATTGATTCCCCCCCCCCAGCGTATCCTGTTTTTCTAGTACCCCAGCAGGAATAGGGTTAAAATCTATAAATTAGAGAAAGATTTTTTTAAGTTTAAATATAAACTGAACAAGAACACACAATCTTTATGATTTAATGCAATTAAATAACATGTCGTCCTTTGTCCATATTTAAGCTTTTAAAGTGACAAGCATGAACACTAAATTAAGTTTTTATGGGGGGGGGGGNTACAGGGGGGGTCAACTTGACCCCCCCCCCAGCAGGAATAGGGTTAAAAGCTTTTACTGAATTTGAAAACTGATTATTTTCATTTGTGTTTTTACATGAACTACATTTGTCGCCGCGAAAAAAATGCGAAATTTCAAGATTTTTTTTTCCGTTTTCGCAAAATTGTTCGCGTGCATTTAATCGCAAAGATTAACTTTGCAAAAGAAAAGAAAACAATACTGAATTTTGTAAAAAAAATATGCGACAATTTTGCGAAAAATCAGATTAATTTGTTTCGCGAAAAAGCAAAATTTTCGCAAGAAAAAATGCAAGATTTCTTTTTTTAATGCGCAAAAGATTAAAGCTAAATTTAGCGAATGGAATATGAAATTTTAGCAAAGATTTTTTTCGCGATAAATGCGAAATGATTTCCCCAATTCGCTGGAAATCGTAAGCTGGAGTCAGTCACTTTGATCATGAGGGATATAATAAGCTTTACCCAGAACAAGAAGACAACATTTAATCAATCTTATTTGTATTTGATGTTGTTACAAAACAAAATTTGTAATGTAATCTTTAAAATAATCTCCTTTAGTTAGATGGATTGTATCTAAAATCATAACATAACGCTGAAAATAGCAATTAAATAAAACTCTACAATGTATTGTATTCATACATAAAAGAAGAATCTGTTTTTGCAATTTCATTTTTAGTTCAACATTTAATTTTCTTTATGAAAACACGTTAAGACATTTAATTCTATTTTGAAAAGTTTATCTCTTTTTTTAAATTTTCATTTGAATCTTCATTTTCTCCTTTTTTCTTACCCTTTTTCCTTCTTCCCTTATTTATAATTCAAACCCAAGTTTCTCTTCTAAATCAACTGAATGGGAATAAATAAATCGTGTTAAACAAATACATTCCATATTCTATGTACAAACATAACTTTTTAGAAATACATTTAAGTTTTTAGAGTTATTAAGAGGCTAAAGTTGTTTTTCGAACCACATTGTTTATTAACGTCTTTAATGTTTTGGCCAGAATGTTCTATACGAGTCAAGATTCTGCAAAATGTAAGCTTAATTTCAAGTAACACTCCATGCAAAGATGTCAATGCCAGTTCTACAACGGTACCCTTAAAACGTGGTATGATTAGTTCTTAATTTTTAAATTTTAAAATTAAGAAAAATATATTAAAATTATCAGATTGTAACACTGTTCAAAATAAATTATCAGATTGTAACACTTTTCAAAATAAATTATCAGATTGTAACACTGTTCAAAATAAATTATCAGATTGTAACACTTTTCAAAATAAATTATCAGATTGTAACACTTTTCAAAATAAATTATCAGATTGTAACACTTTTCAAAATAAATTATCAGATTGTAACACTTTTCAAAATAAATTATCAGATTGTAACACTTTTCAAAATAAATTATCAGATTGTAACACTTTTCAAAATAAATTATCAGATTGTAACACTTTTCAAAATAAATTATCAGATTGTAACACTTTTCAAAATAAATTATCAGATTGTAACACTTTTCAAAATAAATTATCAGATTGTAACACTTTTCAAAATAAATTATCAGATTGTAACACTTTTCAAAATAAATTATCAGATTGTAACACTTTTCAAAATAAATTATCAGATTGTAACACTTTTCAAAATAAATTATCAGATTGTAACACTTTTCAAAATAAATTATCAGATTGTAACACTTTTCAAAATAAATTATCAGATTGTAACACTTTTCAAAATAAATTATCAGATTGTAACACTTTTCAAAATAAATTATCAGATTGTAACACTTTNGAGTTCTTTGCAGGTTTCATGTGTTTGTTGTCTATTCTGAACCAATAGAAATAGTATGGCGGTAACATCTATCTTTCTATCTATCTCATTATCCAATCAGAGTTATGAATCCTTCAATCAGAAAATGGAAATATATAGTTCGACTGAAACTATAGTGCTCATGTATCTTGTATCTTGTGCAGTCCCATGGGCGGATACAGGGGGAAGGGCGGCAGGAGAATAGCTTCTCAATAGCACTTATAAGGGAAAGGAAACCCAATGCAAAACAGAAAAAATGTCTATCTTAAAAAGCATGTTCGCCTGCGGCGCGTCTTTTGGTTTCTAAATCTGGATTTTTTGTTCTGAAATAAATATCTAGCACCCCCTCACTTAAATCCCGTATCCGACCCTGTGAAGACCTGCGGATTAATTTGATATCCCGTATAGTAGTCAGAAATTTTACCTAAACAGGAAAACACTACTTGAGGAATCAAGTAGAAGATTATCTATTTAATTTACTGTCCTGTTTTAGGCGTATATAATCTTGCACAGCTTCTTTAAAGTCAGCCCACGCGATACTTTAAATTAACCGGAGTTTTCAGTCAAGCATTTATCTTCAAATTTTAAAGTGCCAACATATTGCATATCAAGATCAAGTATTCTAGATTAACGGTGCTCGTGTCTCCACGTAATAGTCACGATCTTAACAATTGTTAAATAGTTTTTTTCCTTTAATCGATGTCTATTTTGGGAAATGCAAAAAGTTAAATACCAGTTTATACAAAAATACTGCAGTTTTCAGTAAAATCCAATATTTAATCATTGTTCATTGTTTTATTTTTACTTTTAATCTCCTGTTTTGTGAAATGAAAGCTTTAACTGTATTTAATCAAAATCGTAACTACTCCGTTCATGGGCGAATTCAGGAATTGAAAAGGGGGGGGGGGGGGGGTCAATATCTTGTACAGTCCCTTTAAAAAGAAATAAAATTTCCTCGGTGTTTGTATTTTGATGGAGAAAATATTGTCTTTACTTGATGTCCATTATCCGTGTTCTTTTACTTTATACTTTCTGAAAACAAAAAAAAATAAACCATTTGTTCAGCTCCATTTGCCGATTTGAAGTAAATTCTATATCATTTGAAAAAATAGAAAATAAAATAAAAATGCATTTTCAAGTTTGAATGATTTCTATTGACGCTCTTCTTCCCTTATTGTAAAATTCTGAATCAAGGAGAAATGAAGGACTTCCGGCATTTGAGCAAATTTAGAAAATTTCAAGCAGGACATATTTTATATACTAACCCCTCCCTCTCCATCTGGCCTTTTGAAACTTCGGTTCGTTTAAAGTACAGGACCAACTTCTAAGCAGCTAGAGAAATTTGTACATATTAAACAGCAAAACTGAACAGTACGCAAAATGAATATTATATCCTTATTCATGCATTTTACACTTTAGTTTTATATTAGCTATTTATATCTAATTCATGGTTTATTTTTACACTTTAGTTATATTAGCTATTTATATCCAATCCATGGTTCATTTTTACACTGTAGTTATATCTTAGCTACTTATATCTAATTCATGGTTCATTTTTACACTGTAGTTATATATTAGCTACTTATATCTAATTCATGGTTCATTTCTACACTTTAGTTATATTAGCTACTTATATCTAATTCATGGTTCATTTTTACACTTTAGTTATATTAGCTACTTATATCTAATTCATGGTTCATTTTTACACTGTAGTTATATATAAGCTACTTATATCTAATTCATGGTTCATTTTTACACTGTAGTTATATATTAGCTACTTATATCTAATTCATGGTTCATTTTTACACTGTAGTTATATTAGCTACTTATATCTAAATCATGGTTCATTTTTACACTGTAGTTATATTAGCTACATATATCTAATTCATGGTTCATTTTTACACTATAGTTACATAAGCTACATTTATTTAATACGTGATTCATTTTTACACTTTAGTTATATATTAGCTACTTATATCTAATTCATGGTTCATTTTTACACTGTAGTTATATTAGCTACTTATATCTAATTCATGGTTCATTTTTACACTGTAGTTATACTAGCTACATATATCTAATTCATGGTTCATTTTTACACTTTACTTATATTAGCTACTTATATCTAATTCATGGTTCATTTTTACACTGTAGTTATATATTAGCTACTTATATCTAATACATGGTTCATTTTTACACTTTAGTTATATTAGCTACCTATATCTAATTCATGGTTCATTTTTACACTGTAGTTATATTAGCTACATTTATCTAATACACGGTTCATTCTTACACTTTAGTTATATATTAGCTACTTATATCTAATACATGGTTCATTTTTACACTGTAGTTATATTAGCTACATTTATCTAATACATGGTTCATTCTTACACTTTAGTTATATATTAGCTACTTATATCTAATACATGGTTCATTTTTCACTGTAGTTATATATTAGCTACTTATATCTAATTCATGGTTCATTTTTACACTGTAGTTATATTAGCTACATTTATCTAATTCATGGTTCATTTTTACTCTTTCGTTCATATTCATTTCTTAACTTTTGATCTTTTTCTAAGTTTGCTTTTTTTAAAGTAAGTTTAAAGTTTAATTTAATTTTATTTTTTATTTCATAGTTTTATTTGTATTTCTATTTTTAGGTGAAAACAGTTCCTCATTTCTTGCAATCGAAAATCTTCAGGAAAATTATAATTTCTAAAAACAAATTTAACTGAAAATTTCTGAATTCCTGAATTTCTGAATAATAGTGCGATATTTATTATATCCACGACCAGAGAAGTCGTTTAACCAGATCTCGGTGGGATTCGAGTAGTAGTTAAATTAGCCGTAGCAAATTCAAATTCTCAAGATATATTTCTTTACTTAAGGCAGCATGATACAATAAATGTGTGAATTAAGTACAATTAAAATCATCTTCAAACTATCATCAAAAATGAAATTAAAAGAAATTAAAATCATTTTAAAGCTAAAGACAACGGAATTGAGTTTTGTCACAATTTTATCAAATTTTCGAATCCCTCTATATCTTTGCACCTTGACGGTATAAACCTTTTATATTTTAAACTCAGACTATTTAATAAAACAGAATTTATAGTTTGAAATAGTGATAAGAAAATCAGAGTTTGTGGCAGAAATTCAATTCCTTTGTAAAATTTATTTTTACACATTCAATTCTTGTTCGAAATTTGAAATTTGAAATTTGATATAAGGATCTAAAATTTACGCATTTCAAAATCAATTGAAAAATGTTCCTACAACCATTTGTGACAGTAAAAAAACAATACATAATCCAAGGTTATAATGCAAGGAAAGTTATTCCAGATGTGTACGCATCTTTTGTACTGCAGTGTACTGTCTCTGGGTGGCAATGTAAACACAAGACGGATGTCGAAGCCTGACATGGGATCCATCTTTCACATAAAAAATCAATAAAATATTCTGGTCATAGGAAACTATTATGTGAATTATCAAAATTTGTCAAAATTTATTGCTTTTAACCTCCTTTGATACTTAACGAACACTGGTGCATCTATTCTTGTTTACAAATTCCGCCTAGAGAGAACTGATTTCAATATGTGCGTAGAGTATACACTACTGCAATTAACTTTCCTTGCATTAACCTTGACAAAACCTATGTCCCCGTTTTGCAATTTTGTTAAAACATTTTTTTCTCTCGTTTTTTTTTGTGGCAAAACCATATTCTAAAAAGTTAAAATTGTAAAATATCTAAAAGAGTTTTTAACCTTTGATCTTGGAATTGTGTCAAAAATCTTTCTTCTAAGAAAATGTTAGAAATTGAACAAAGTTAAAGTTTTCCTCAATAGTCATGGCTTTCAAGGCAGCCAAATATTAGTTGCTTTAAACTAATTGGATGCCTGCCTTTTATCAAAAAATATTTCCAAACACACAAAAAATGACAATCTTTGTAAAACAATAATTTCATGCTCCCATTATTCAAGCGTAAGCGTAATTTCAAGTCCGGTTCAATTTTAATTTACATTTTGGAAAATTAATTATTTTCATCTTGGGTTCTGTACAAATTTGACTTGCTCATTTCTATTGTAGGAAAGCATTTATGATTTAACGGAATTAAAAAGTTTTAAAGGTAGAAAAACAGTAATATCTTCCACATTACTGAAAAGATAAAGGTTTCAAGGTACTGTTGTAAAATAAACATTGGTGGTCACTTGAAATTATGCTTACACTATATACAGTCTCCTTACAGCCAGAAACATAGTTGTTGACAAGGATATAATGCAAGGAAAGTTATTTCAGAGGTGTACGCATCTTTCGTACTGCAGTGCACTGTCACTGGGCGGTAATGTAAACACAAGACGGATGTCGAAGCCTGACATGGGATCCATCTTTTACATAAATAATCAATAAAATATTCTGGTCATAGGAAACTATTATTTGAATTATCAAAATTATCAAAATCCAATGCTTTTAACCTCCTTGGATACTAAACGAACACTGAAGCATCTATTCTTGTTTACAAATTCCGCCCAGAGAGAACTGGTTTCAATAAGTACGCAGAGTATACACAACTGCAATTAACTTTCCTAGCAATACATTCTTGGTTGCTGAAAACAGAAACTTAGAATTATTTTTAAACAGGAGAAGGACAGGGGTCGGTATAGATGCCGGGTCGATTTTGACAAGGCTCCAGCTAAAATATATAAAGTAGCACTACAAGTTGTTGGTAAGTAATTTCCTTAATTACGTATAGTAACGTTTGAATATATATATATATATATATAGATAGTATTTTTCGTTATAATTTCAAAATTTCAAAAGGCAATATTTATTTATTTATTTTCTGACGATTGTATAGAAAGTGATTATTAATATTTTTAAAATGTAAAACATTTTGCAGTCAAAGTGTTAAGTTTAAAACTTTTGTACTTTGGTACTTTTGTGATTAAGATTAAATTCCCTTTATTTATAATTATTATACAGTTCCTTCCCAGCCCCCTGTGCTAGTGACAGGAGAAGGAATCCAGCTTGAGGAAATTCAGTATTTCGAGGGATCTCATCTTACAGTACACTGTAGGGTTAAAGGAGGTTAGCATTTTTAGTCTTTTTAACATTAAATCCATAGAAGTGTCTGACAAGTACCAAACATTTCCGAAAAATCACCTAAGAGTACCTGAAAGTACATAACACAATGTAAAGTTATCTAAAAGTACCTGCAAGTACCTGAAAGTACCTGAAAGTACCTGAAGGTACCTAAAAGTGTATGAAAGTACCTAAAAGTATCCAAACGTATCTGTAAGTATACATGCAAGTGTCTGAAAGTACCTTAAGTACCTGTAAGTACCTAAAAGTACCTTAAAGTACCTGAAAGTATCTGTAAATACATGTAACTGTCTGAAAGTATCTGAAAGTAATTGAAAAATATACCAGAACTGCCTGAACGTACTTTATAGTGCCAAAAAGGGAAAGGTGAAGGTGAAGAACCAAAGCCATCTCTGGATAACGTGTCCCAAGCTATATTGGGTTGTTCATAGCTTTAACTTGGGACATGGGGACATGAGAGCAAAAATTAAATTGTTTCATCAAAGTTTGAAGGAAATGAATATATGAATAAATGTAAATGTGATGCTCTGTTTAGAGATCGGCATCATTTTTAAAACGAACTAAATTTATCCTGAACAATGAAGAGCGATGGACAAACATTTTGGTGGACGAACAATTTGAATCAATTTTTTTAAAGAATTGAAAAAAAAATCAAACGAAATGGGTCGTTCACAAGCGATACAACGAATGAAATAAAAAATAAAACCGACCTGCACATCTCTAGCTCTGTGTATACTGTATATCTATATGAAATAATATTTATCTTGTAACAGGAGTCCCGCCTCCCCAGCTTTTCTGGTTTGTGAATGGGAAGAGTGTAGAGGGTGTCCCCATGAACAGACCAAGGAGTCAGCAGCTCCATCAGGGTATACCAGGTCTAGGTAGTTCTGCTGTAGATACTCCTGGAGTTGGGCTGGTCAGCTCATACCTGGATTTCGGAGTTCTAGCAAGAAATGTAAGTTTTAAATAGTTAAAGGGACTGTAAGCGTAATTTAATGTGACCCTCCATGTAAAGATGAAAATTCCCAATAAACAAGCTTACTCTTAAAAGCTTTGTGTCCGTTCAGGAAATAGTTGACAAATAACAATGTTTTTAATTTTCAAAGCTGATTTTTCTTTCAAACGTGGTTTCTCTACAGAAGTCACTTGCGCATTTCTGCTGCGGAAAAACGGCAATATATATTCCCTAATTATTGATCAGATGAGATAAAGGTTTCAAGGGTTTCGTTTTAAATCTGATATAGGAGGGTCACTTGAAATTATGCTTACAGAGCTGAAAACTTTAAAATGAGATATCCCTTATCTCGATTACTTAGTCTGAGTATCCAATGGACACACTTTTGATTTTCTACTTAAACCGTTCTTTCTTGGATACAGTCGAGAAAAATCAAAAACCGGTTTTTAAAACTCGAGAGTTCCTCCTGTTTCTGTATATAATCTTGATTGGCGTGCAAAATTTCAAATTTATCGACTTCATTTACGCGACTGGTTGAATTTTAATTTTTAGGATACAAGTACTAGATTAGGTTAGTCTCGATATTGAGAAAAGAGAGGATCAAGCATTTATCTCGATATCCACCATTCTAAAGTTTTCAGCTCAGGATACAGACCCTTTAAGATATTGTTAATTGTTTATCTATTTCAAAGTGCATATAAAGTAGCATTATTATTTAATTGAGGATCCCGATTAGGCGCGCATATTTTATCGCTCAAAGATGTCATTCGAAGAGCCAGTCCGAAACCATCTAGTCATCAGTGAGATGCCAGCGTTTTATATTGATTTTTGCGTATTTTCAAGCTATATGTATATTTCAAACTATGAATTTTGTTAAATCAAATATTAGACAATTAAAATTTGTGGAATAGACTTAATTCTTTTTAACTAAAGTATATTCTAGTATGTTGACACAACTATTACCTGTTCTGCTCCTGTTCATCTATATATATTCTAGTATGTTGACACAACTATTACCTGTTCTGCTCCTGTTCATCTATATATATTCTAGTATGTTAACACAACTATTACCTGTTCTGCTCCTGTTCATCCATATATATCCTAGTATGTTGACACAACTATTACCTCTTCTGCTCCTGTTCATCTATATATATTCTAGTAGGTTGACACAAATATTACCTGTTCTGCTCCTGTTCATATTTACATATTCTAGTAGGTTGACACAACTATTACCTGTTCTGCTCCTGTTCATCCATATATATTCTAGTATGTTGACACAACTATTACCTGTTCTGCTCCTGTTCATCTATATATATTCTAGTATGTTGACACAACTATTACCTGTTCTGCTCTAAACAGCAACTTGTCTGCTCCTGTTCATATTTATATATTCTAGGATGTTGACACGAATATTACCTGTTCTGGTCTAAACAGCAACTTGTCTGCTCCTGTTCATATTTATATATTCTAGGATTTAGACACGAATATTACCTGTTCTGCTCTGAACAGCAACTTGTCTGCTCCTGTTCAGACTACGAGAAGAATACAAATGAAATGTAAGTCAAGCTAAATCTTGAGCCGAGATTTTAAAAGCTTGAACCCGATAAAAATCCTTTCGTAGCGCTATTTAGACCCAAGTAAAGCTCAGGTCAAAATTGGATTTTGGATGGCCTTGGGTTCAGTAAAAACCAACCGCGCCTTGGAATTTTCGCTGTTGAAGGCTCGGGTCTTCAAAAGCTAACGATTGTAAATTTCACATAAACTATTATATTTGTATATTTAAAATCTTGGGAATTATTTGTAGTGTCCAATTTGATCAAAGGTATGAAATAAACATACTACGACAATAATATATCTACAAAAATTTCGAATTTTCGAAATTTACATCTGTAAAACATGAGGACCTTGTTACAACTGCAACCTGTCTCTTTGAAGAAAAGCTTCCTAAGCAGTTATATATTCTAGTATGTTGACACAACTATTACCTGTTCTGCTCCTGTTCATCCATATATATTCTAGTTTGTTGACACAACTATTACCTGTTCTGCTCTAAACAGCAACTTGTCTGCTCCTTTTCATATTTATATATTCTAGGATGTTGACACGAATATTACCTGTTCTGGTCTAAACAGCAACTTGTCTGCTCCTGTTCATATTTATATATTCTAGGATTTAGACACTAATATTACCTGTTCTGCTCTGAACAGCAACTTGTCTGCTCCTGTTCAGACTACGAGAAGAATACAAATGAAATGTAAGTCAAGCTAAATCTGGTATGAAATAAACATACTACGACAATAATATATCTACAAAAATTTCGAATTTTCGAAATTTACATCTGTAAAACATGAGGACCTTGTTACAACTGCAACCTGTCTCTTTGAAGAAAAGCTTCCTAAGCAGTCTATCATTGGTCGAATAAGAACCAATCAGGAGCCATTCTGACTTGGGTTTTACTTACACTTGAGTCTCTGAATAAGCCGCGGGTTTTACTCGGGTTAAAACGTTTAAAATCTCAGCTCTGAAAAACTATTTTATCCTTATAGATAGAAAAAATAACTTTGTTAATTTAATGACAAAGCCAGACCCCCCCCCCCCCATTCAGATGCTTTTATAGGTTAATATCGGTTTTATGTTTATTCAATGCAAAAAGATTTTTAGAAAGATTGAGAATGAGATTTGAAATATTTTGTGTGACCATTCGTAGGTTGGGAAAGAAAACAACTTAAAGCTTTTAGCAGAAAGATTTTGTTATCATTTCATTTAAACTTTAACATAAACTTTCATCAACCGGAAACAAAAATAAAAAAATGTATTGCTTTGCTGTATTACTTGTTTAAATGTAAAAAACAAAATAAAAAAATCTTTTACAAAAAAATTATTTTGTTCTGGGGGAATCAAAGCTAAAAAGATATTTTAACAATTTGAACTTCTAAAGTTTCTGCTGCTCCAGATTTCATTTAGTGGTGTTGGGATTAAATTAAAAGACTGCAGTGAACAAACTGTCTTTCATTTAAAAAATTTCAAAAAAAACTTTGTTGAAAGTCAAAAAAAATAGTTTTGCCGAAGTATTTTTTGTAACCAACAAGCTATATATATCCATCTACAACAAGCTATATATATCCATCTACAACAAGCTATATATATCCATCTACAACCAGTGCCCCTTATCCCCTCCCGCTCTATGCAAAAGGAATCAGACACTCAATAATTTTCGGGTTAAAGACTGCCATGTGTTTTTAAGACAACTTGGCAGAATCGAAATTAGATTTTGACTATTTTCGTAAAAATTTGATAATATGTAAATCACACTCCCTTATATCAAGGGGGGGGGGGGTCCTCCAACAGAAAATAAGCAGAAATAAGACTTTTTTATTTCAGTTTTTATTGTTAACAAGCTTCTTTCGAACTGCAAGTTAAAAGTAATTAAAGAGAAGCTTTTAAATGATAGCTTCTCTTTGTTTCCAGGTTTTGTGTATCCAAGCTTATTAAAAGCTTGATATTCATCTAAATCAAAATCTTGTCGTGTTCATTATATTGATATAATCGCTTACCACCGATGAATAGATCTTTCTGTCCTTCCTCTGGTCCAATGTTTTTGTTTGTTTGCTCCGAGTAATGTAATTGGTTTCACTATTTATCTCAAGCTGTCAACCTATTTAAACAATATATAAACCAAGGTACTAATGCAAGGAAAGTTATTTTAGAGGTGTACGCATTTTTTGTACTGCAGTGTACTGTCTTTGGGCGGAAACGTAAAAACAAGAGAAATGTCAAAGCCTGACATGGAATCCATTTTTTCAAAAATAATCTATGAAATATTCTGGTCATAGGAAACTATTATGTGAATTTTAAAAGCTGTCAAAATTAAATGTTTTTAATCTCCTCGGATACTAAAAGAACACTGATGCATCTATTCTTATTTACAAATTCTGCCCAGAGAGAACTGGTTTCAATATTTACGTAGAGTATACGCGACCGCAATTATGCCAATTAACTTTCCTTGCGTTAGTACCTTGATATATAACTAAGAAAACTCAAATAAACAGAGTTATCAAATTTAATAAATATCTTACGGGGGGGNAGATTCTAAAAGTAGAGCACAAGAGCTTTCTAATGATGTATCATTTGTCATATTTGGACATAAAACATGGGATTTAGAGGGGGGGGTCAAATTGACCCCCCCCCAGCGTATCCTGGTTTTCAAGTACCCCAGCGGGGATAGGGTTAATACTGTGATATTTATTTGGCAAATTAGATTTCAACGTTTTCTTATTTCTGTTAGCCTGTCACTGAAGACCTGCAGTTAGTATACTAACTTTATATATATATATATATTGTGTGTAAATTAACCATTAAATCTAATTTTAGTATTGCCGCAGCAAGTTCAAATCCTGAATACTAGAGCTACTCTCTCAGCTGACACAGAGACATCTATCCGTTGTTCCAGGAAACGCAAACCGGTTTTTTACACGTTTCAAAGAATACTTCTTGCACAGATTTTTAAATTCATTTGACATGATTACTGCTGTTGTTGCAGTGATTAAACCTTGTACCGTTTTCTGAAATAGAAATACTAGAAGTATGTTTTGCCACCAACTGAATGGGGTACGGTTCGTGCACTACCGTCTAATGGACATCATCGAACCTACATTATTACTCTGAGGCCGAATTTAAAGAATTTGAGCCGGGGCTTAAAATGTAAGACACATTAAGACAATTGTATTCAATGTTTTAAGATTTAAGCCAACGCTCAATTGAAAGCGGTTTTTTACGGATTTGAGACGCGGCTCAAATTCATTAAATTCGGCATATTTTATATGTTAGCTGGTCACATGCTTTCTTGGACTTCGATGTCTGTATCATTTTAGTCTTAATTTCATTACTTTTGTGTACGAAAATTGTTAAAAACGACGTTACTGCAGAACGTAGCGTCCATACAAATTCAGAAAGTTGCAATATACTACTTGTATCGTAAAATAATCTATTTAATTTCAAACAATTCCTTCTGATATTACAACCTTATAGTCATCAATTATTTTTCAACGCATTCCTAAATAGTGAATATTTCATGATATATGTTTTTTGCTTTATAAACAATGCACTTAAAACGACTAATTGAAACGACGGCCAACTATTTCGGCGTTTTAAGTGCATTGTCTACAAAACGAATCAAAAATATTATGAAATATTAAATATATCAAAATTGACCCTTCCGATTTGTGTAGCTGGGGTTCGCGGCCGGTCGCTGAGTTGACCTGGTGGCTAGGAGGAGAACTGTTACATTCAAACCTATCCCAGGTAAATTTAAGAGATTGATAATAATTGGAACACAACACAACAAAGTAAATGTATACAAGAAACGAATTTCAAGATGACCAGAATGGCCTTTTTTCTTTTTGCTCGTTATTAAACGTATTTGTTTACCTTATTTGAAAAATTACATCTTGTGAAATCTTACTGTACAAAAGGTTGTCAACGTACAATAAAATGAGATCCAGAAAATGTTCACAAAATGGGCAGGTTTTCCGTGAAAAGCCTTAAATGACCAATTTCTCAAAATTTGTAATGTTTGATAATACAATTTTTGAATAATGGGAAATCATTTTAACCTAATTGTTTATAAAATAATTGAAAATTCACGTTATATAGTTCGTTTTTCAAATCATTCATATCTACAAATCTACATAAAAATCTCTCTGATCTCACATTGTCACAGATCACCTGACAATCTCATTCCTTCCAATCAACTCCTTACCTATCCAAAAACATATCTAGATGTGTGTAACCAATTATATTCAGTATCGTTAATTAACTTCGGGCCAACGACTCAAAACATCCAACCATGGTTAGGCGGGTCCAAACTGCATAGTAAATTGTGATTGCTTATTTGTACTATCTCATGCATTGTAGTTGAATAAAAATATGAATGATATCTAAAATATATCAAGCGAGAGGATGTTGTTTAGAATGTTTGGAAACTCTGAAAGATAAGTTAAGTTTAAGCATTTTACAGATTTCCTTTTTCTGAAGCTTCGGTTTCTAATCCTGTAGATTGGAAAAGTTCGCGAATAATGGGGAAGCAGAGTGGGTTCAGGGTTCTATTAGAGAAGAGAAATTGTTTAAAATCTTCAATTTTCAAACTTTCAGCATTATACCCTTTGTTAACAGTTAGGAGTTAAGTGAACATGAACAAGAACATGAACATGAACATGAACATGAAGTATAAATATTCCAGGTTTCTGGAAATGAAGCCTACAGTAATCTAACAGGTAATTGAAAGGATTTATCAAAATCAAAATTGAAACATTTTTGAAAAATAATTTAGATCTTTTTTTATTTGGATTGATATATTTATCTTAAGAAAATTAGAACCAAAGAAAAACATGTTAACCTTTGAAAAACATAGTAGTACCATGATCTATTTTAATAATTTAGGCTGAATATAGATTTTATAGATTTAAAAAAAATAGAAAAGAATTTAATTTCTATTTTTTTTTCTTATAGTATCTATATATAATATAAATGTTTTTAATCATAATTTTAATCATCATTGTTATCTATATTATTAATTTTACTGTCATTTTTAGATGAGACTATAAAAATATATCAAAATTAATTTTAACCCCAAGTTTTTCTATCTGCGAGAGTGAAAACCATTTTTGCCAAGGACAGTTTTCAATTGTAACATTTTCATCATTATTATTAGTTATATTAATTGCAATATTTTTTCTGATTATTAAATTCTAGAGAGTGTTCTTCGGTTCAAACCGACCAGAAGTGATTCTAGAAAATTTCTGAAATGCCGAGCTCAGAATCCTGAAATGCCAGCGAGTGAGATTGAAGATTCATGGAACCTGGATGTTAATTGTAAGTAAAATTATTAATATTTTCAAAACTCAATATTTGCAAATAATTCTGAAATCAAGCAAACATATTAGATTCTAGCTGAAGTTGTCGTAAGAATTAAAAAAAATCGAAATTTGAAAACCCTATTAAAAGAGTTTGTTCAAAGTTATGTCAACAAACCCTTCAAGTAAGAAATCTCAAAATGCCTTCAGCAATTTTGTTTGTAAATTCTGCAGAGCTAGGGTATTTTTGTATTTAACTTGTTGTGCTCGGTATTGAGTTTCTTTAGATCCTATTCTTCTACAGCAAAAACTCTCATTAGAAGGAAACTATAGGAGTAGACCTTTCCAACTCTATACAACTCAAACCATAGATAACATAGAGAGGAGGAGTAGACCTTTCCAACTCTATACAACTCAAACCATAGATAACATAGAGAGGAACTATAGGAGTAGACCTTTCCAACTCTATACAACTCAAACCATAGATAACATAGAGAGGAACTATAACCATAGATAACATGAAGCATTAAGCACAAATGAAAAAAATCTACTTTTAAAATGACCCTGTATATAAACGATATTGCAAACTAAAATACACCATTTTTACAATAGAGCCTTTATTGTTAAGTTTCTACATCAATGACGTTCTTGGCTTAAATTAGACCTTAACCTTAAGCTGTAGCTTAAATATACATACAGAAATTGACGAGTTCAATATTTAACCCGAGGAAACTCTGCAGTTATCTACCATTATCTATCAATTAATCATAATTCTCTGCAAGCTGATGCAGCGTTTGAGTATTTATACAATCCATTTTTATGATGTAATATATTAGTACAGGGCTAAGTTTTATTTAACCTTGAATTCATTATTTTTCAGAACTTTAAGCTGTAACTTAAACTTCCCGCATTCTTTAGTTTAGTCTCTGGAACTGAAACACATACTGAACATAAACTAATAACATAATGTTTAGTTAAACCGCTACTAGATGTCACCCTTGGTCAAACCCTGGATCCACGACAAATCAAGGAAACAGACTAACTTAAAATTTATAATTTTTCCATGTTTAATGAATCACATATTTTCCCAATTTAAGCAAAAAAAATGTTATCTTAATTTTATAAAAACCAGGGGTTTATATTTTAAAAATTACCCTCAAAGATTTGTGACAAAATTTTGTAAAATTGTAGATCAAATGAGAAATTTTTCAATTTTTAATAAACTATATAATTTCCCCAATGAAGCGAAAAAAAACATTGAAAAAATGTTTGCGCTCCGCGATATTATCAATAATATACCACAGAAACAAAAAGAAAGGGTATGCAATTTTTTATTTAAAAAATATATTCCCCTGTGAAACCCTAAAATCATCCTACTGGAATATTTGCAGCCGGCAACAGTAAACATTATCTAAACTGTATTTAGCAATAAAACATTTTATTATTGTGAAGGCATCATCAAACCCCTTCAATTGTGAAAAGAGACACTAAAGAGAAACTCAAAGTGTCAACAAAAATGCATGAAAAACTTAAAAACAAAAACTGTTATTCGATCTTCAAGAGACTCAGGGTGTCTCATCAAAGCTGGGATTTTTTAAAGTCCTCTTTATTCACGCGACAGTGTTTTTGCCACAAATTCTGATTTTCTAATATCTTTGCAACCCAACGCGGTAGACCTTTTATATTTCAAACTATGAAAACTGTAGAGATCAAATTATCTAAAGTTGCATATATATAGACATTAGAATATTTGGGTTTGTGGCAAAGACTCCATTTCTGTCTACAGGAGGAAATGATTTTTTGACATAATGTATAAAACTTTTAAGACTTTCGACTTAAAAAAAAGATGTTATTTTGAAAGATCGATATTGGGATATCTTATTATTAATTCAGTTTGAAGTATCTGCGTCATGTAATTTCAGATAAATTAACTTAAAGGGAGTGTCTGGCTTGACATGTTAGTTGAAGCGAGAGTGCAGTATTGTAGAGACATTTTTCAGTACGGTTTATAATTGCTAAGTATGATTTTAAAGGGACTGTAAAGGAAAAATAAAAGGGGGTATCGAATGAAACCTGAGAATCTCAGGCGTTAAACGTTACATATAAGACATCTATCTGATGTTCCTGTCTGGTGACGTAATACGGCCTATACGGACTTTGTGTAATAATATTATCAATTATATCTATTGAAAATGCAAAATAAAAAATTATATAATAGGATCAAACCTAAGATTCTCAGGCTCCTGTGGGATATAATCGTTTTCAGATTGTTTTTTTTCCTGAATATAATCTGTTTAAACCTACTACTTTTATACAAAATTGTATATATATGAATTTTCGTATAATTTTGGCACAGTTTTATATCAATTTCTCGAGACTAGAACATCAGACAGATGTCTTAAATGTATCGTTCAACGCTTAAGATTCTCAGGTTTCATCCTATACCCCCTTTCATTTTTCCTTTACAGTCCTTTTAAAATCTTTCTGGCTCTTGCCCCCAGGTACAAACGTCTTATAGGTCTCATCTTAAATGATTAATAAAAAAATCTTTATAATACTGCACTCTCAACTCAACTATCATGTCTAGCCAGACACCACCTTTAAAGAGGGGCATAAACCATTCTAAATAGTCCTGTATACATTTTTTGTAGGTAATTACAGAAAGGATGTTTTGTTGTTAAAAGGAGACTTTTTAACTCAGATTTTTATTGTGCGTATTTGTTTAAAGTTTTTCAAACCAAGGTGAAAAATTTTAATATTATTCGGTTCACGCTACAGGAAGGGGATGATGTCTATTTCGAGTGCTTAATTGTGGCCAAACCTCCAGTTTACAAAATATCCTGGGATTTTAATGTAAGTATTTATAACATTTTAAGTCTCTGCAGCTACTTGTTCAAAATGGACTTTATTCCTCAGATATGTTTCGAACAGCCTAAATTTAATTATCCCAATGAACTAAATAACAAAAGAAAATTTTTCAAATTACCCAAACCCCAAAGTAAAGAGTCTCAGTATTTGCCACAAACTCCGATTTCTAATCCCTATATATTTGCAATTGCATCCCGATGTAGTAGACCTTTGATTTTTCAAATCATAAATAATGTTAGATAAAAAGTCTTACTTCTAAGTATAAAATACAGAATGAGGTGGCAATAATTTAGAAATTTGAAAATTTGAATTGGTGGAAAAAAAATTAGCGCTTTTCTCAAATTACCAAAAACCAAGAAAAAATGTTTCAATATCACTATATATAACTCTTTCCAAAATATTGGATTGATTCGCTTTATTTTCCACTTTTTAATTTGATTTCATAAAAAATGTATGGGATAAAAACTATAAAAATTTTGGGACAAGTTTGAAGTTTCGCAACCCCTTGACCTTTGGTTTTAAATCACTAACTCAATAAACCTTTTTGTAGCCCTATACATTTACATTTTATAAATACAAAGTGAAAAGCTTCAATTTAAAATGATTACATGGAAAATGCTGAGAGATTTTTGCTTTGAGTTAGATTACTGTATTGAAATAAATTGTAGAATGAAAACCTAATGAAATATAACTTTATTTATTATATTTAATTATGATAACTGATTAATCATAATCCGTAATCGTTGACGTGAAGCATATTTTTAACTCATTATTTAAGGGAAAGGAAACATTTTAAATTCTAATATTTATGGATTAAGTGGAAAAAACGATCCCAAGATTAATAGTTTATAAAAATTTAGATCGTGCCCAGTAAAGTATCTCTTTAGCAATGTTTCCAGCATTTTATCCCTTGAATCTAAGACTATTAACAATAGAAAAATAATTATACATTTTTTTTCTTCTTCCTTAGGGCAGAGAACTGAAACAGAATATGAGAGACGGAATCATATTTGGAAATCAAAGTTTAGGTAAAAGTATATTTTTTGCAATTTCAGAATTTCAATCTTAAAAAGATATATCTTTGTAATCCAATGTCGTAGACCTTAGATATTTTAAAATAATCTAAGTTTGAAATATTAAAGGTTTGCACCATCCGGTTGCAAAGATATTGGGATCAGAAGATTTGAGTTTGTGGCAAAAACTCAATTCCTTTGTTAAAGCATTTTAAATTGAATGAAAAAAAAATTCATAATAAATAATAAGAGGCTAGATAAAAAACTTTTAGGACACCTTAAAGGGATGGTAGAGTAAATTCAACCTATAATCTATCTGAGTGACAAAGAGGAAGAAATCCACGTTTTTCTATCTGAAAAAAAGAAGAAATCTGAAATTTTTCTCCTACTATTTATTTTTTTCATAAAGCTATAGAAGGGGTTTAAAATATTCAGCAATAGATGAAATAATCAAATTTTATATAGAAAAATAAAGAAACCTGAGCTGAAAACTTTAGAATGAGATATCTTTAATTCTAATTACTTAATCTGAGTATCCAATGGACACACTTTTGATTTTCTTCTTAATCCTCTCTTTTTGGATATTTCTACTGTATAAAGTTACGTTTGATATCAATGACAGATACGATGCTATATCGATTGGACTAATATCCGATTGAACTAAAATCAGCTGTTCACAAGCGGGGTTTTTAGACCTTTTAAACAAATGTAAAATTAATCATGCTAATATAAACTTATTAAAAAACATATTTTATCATATTTGAGGACTATAGTCATTGTACTGAGTGAGCAATTTTACTGCACGATCGTTCACTGAGAAAACGAAAAAATGAACAATATTCTTTGAGAACGAACAAATCCAACATTTTGATATACTGAATAAAAAACTAACTAAGATGTTCACGAACAATGAACAAACGAAATAAATAAAAAAAAACATTAATAAGATCAAGTTCTGAAGATATTTAAATTCACTGTATTTTATCGTCAACGGAAACAATTTTGTTGGAAAAAATTCGAATTAATTATTAATTATCTTATTTCTTATTTTCTACAAAATTGTTTAGTTTCTGAAAATTTCCAGTTTTATAATGATATTTAGCATAAAGTAAAAATTATTTCCTAATAAGCACTTTTGTTTAGTCCTTCAAGGTTTGGAGAAAGGTAGCTCGGGAAATTATAGTTGTAGAGCCACTAATGAGGAAGGAGTGGGGGTTTCTAAACCTATTCATCTTGATGTTAAATGTAAGTTTAAACCTATTCATCTTTTATCTTATATATCTTTTATCTGTTGTAGAGTATAAAGAATGTTAAAATTGCTGGACAAGATACAATTCAATTGTTCTCTAACATTTAATTCATTAAAATTTAACTGGTTAAGCTTAAAAAATGTTTAATTTTTGACAAATTTGTTGCATAAAACGCAATAGGCAAAAAACATTCTTTTGTGCTAGGCAAAATGTTACTAGGCAAACTTGAACTAGGAAAAAGTTACCAAGGCAAAATGTGACTAGGCAAGAGTGAACTAGGCAAGTTGTGACTAGGCAAAATGTGACTAGGCAAATTGTGACTAGGCAAAATGTAGCTGAGCCAAAAATATCAAGGCTATTCATTAGGGATTTAACAAACCCTTCTTTTTTTATGATTAAACATTTTTAAGAACATATTCCTTTCTTTAAGACATTGAAAACCCTTTTCTGAATACAAAAAAAGTCTCTATTTGATACAAAATCTTACCTTTATTAGGCCGGCGGCTGTAAGTTTGTAACATCTCATTTTGTATGATACTATCTTCCAATTGTTTATAATTTGTTGTTTTGCAGGAAATTCTGCGCTTAATTCCTCGCTAATTATGTTGAATTAGAATTTTTATGAAAATTAAACATATTAATTAATTTCTGCATTTAGTTTCATCAAAAGAATACTTGTTTCCAAAGTACAAGTGTACAAAACAAGTATATATTTTTTTATTCGAGGTTTAACTTTTTTACCCAACCTCCAATCATTTTTTTTAGCTTAAACTTTTTCAAACTTTTTTGAGGGGGTAATGTACAGGTACAGCTTTTATATCAATATAATGTACAGGTACAGCTTTTATATCAATATAATGTACAATATAATACAGTACGGATCTTATAGCAATATACTGTACAGGCACAGATCTTATATCAATCTATTGTACAGGTACAGATCTTATATCAATTAAGTGTACAGGTCAGGATCTTACATCAATATACTGTACAGGTCAGGAGCTTACATCAATATACTGTACAGGTACAGATCTTATATCAATATACTGTACAGATCCGGATCTTACATCAATATACTGTACAGGTCAGGAGCTTACATCAATATACTGTACAGGTACACATATCTGATATCAATAAACTCTACAGGTACAGATCTTATATCAATCTATTGTACAGATACAGATCTAATATCTATCTATTGTACAGGTATATATCTTCTAAAATATCAATATACTGTACAGGTACATATCTTATATCAATAAACTCTACAGGTACAGATCTTATATCAGTCTATTGTACAGATACAGATCTAATGTCTATCTATTGTACAGGTATATATCTTCTAAAATATCAATATACTGTACAGGTACAGATGTTATATTAATATACTGTACAGGTACAGAGCTTAAATCAATATATAAACTGTACAGGTACAGATCTTATATCAATCTATTGTACAGGTACATATCTTACATCAATATACTGTACAGGTAAGGAGCTTACATCAATATACTGTACAAGTACATATCTTATATCAATATACTGTACAGGTAGAGATCTTATATCAATTTATTGTACAGGTAAGGAGCTTAAATCAATATACTGTAGATCAAATTTTAATATAATTTAAGAAATAATTACTCTTTTTTCAAGGTGATCAAATAAAAATGTTTTGAATATTTGATCCAATTTTTTATTCTATTAATAATTAATCAAATATTTAATTAAAGCTTGATTATTCAAAACTTCAAAAATATATAAAATTAATCATCTTCATGATGTAAACTACAAGCATGTTTTATTAAGAAGTTCAGACAGGGCGGCCTGAAAATAACTTTTTTTAAAGTTTTATTTTTTATTTTTCAGTTGAAGCAAATCCAGCGGTGGACTTGATGTTTCGTTGGACCTTCAACAATACTTCAGAGACTTCAGATATTCAGGTTTGTACTTTTTATTGCAGTTTTGTACTGTTCATTGCAGGTTTGAACTTTTCATTGTAGATTTGTACTTTTCATTGCAGATTTGTACTTTTTGGTGCAGGTTTGTACTTTTCATTGCAGATTTTTACTTTTCATTGCAGATTTGTACTTTTCATTTCAGATTTGTACTTTTCGTTGCAGGTTTGAAATTTTCGTTGCAAATTTGTACTTTTTATTTTTTATAACTTTGACACAGCTTATATCAATTTCTCGAGACAGGAACATCAGAGAGGTAAAATATTGGTCGCGATCAACACCTAAAATTGTTAGCTTCAGTCTATACCCCCTTTTATTTTACCTTAACAGTCCCTTTAAACAGCAGTTTATCTAAAACTTATAAATACAATAAAAACGAATTTTAATTTCAAGGGACTGTAAGTGTAATTTCAAGTGACCCTTCATGCAAAGATGACAATACCTGATTTACCTTTACACATACATTTTACTAGAAGGGAATCATTTATTTAAAGGGAGTGACCGGCTATGTAAGGTAGTTGAACTGAGTATGCAGTGTTGTGGAAAGCTTCTTTCGGATTCATTTGAGACATATAAAACTTTTTAAAGATCTGTAAATCAATAAATCAATGCTAGAATCAATTATTTCGTTTTCATCATTATATTGAATTTCTTATTTTCTTTGAATTTAAAGCTTCTTTCGGATTCATTTGAGACATATAAAACTTTTTAAAGATCTGTAAGTCAATAAATCAATGCTAGAATCAATTATTTCGTTTTCATCATTATATTGAATTTCTTATTTTCTTTGAATTTATTTGCAGATTTCTAAAAATTCTTCAAATGTCGTCTTTTCAATATTAATTTCAGAAAATCTGCAGAAAATGTTTGTGAATAATAAGAACTAGAATAATGGGAAAATAGAAACTGATAATTGAACAAGATTTTTATTTTCTCAACCGGTATCGAAACAACTTATTATTTTACTGTAGAGTTTTGTTTACATGTTTTGTCGTCGTTATTTCATAATTGAAAAAAAACTAATTCTAAAAACGTATCCACCCCCAAAGTAGGAGTTTTGAACGTCGAATTTGCGCTCAAACTCAGGATTTACAGATCTTTTAAAAGTTTAATATGTCTCAAATGAATTTGAAAGAAGTTTTCTACAACACTGCATGCTCAGTTCAAGTACCTTACATAGCCGGTCACTCCCTTTAACGTGATGTCCCGGTCATTCTTTCATAGACTATACAATTGATATGTACAGCTTGTTCTAGCTGGTCAAAAGTCGGCCGGGTTCTTACAGTGCTTGACACCTTTATCTGATCAAAATGTAAGAATGTCGTCAGTTTTCTCACTCGAAAAATGTGTAATTTTGCAAGAAATGCGCAAGTCAATTTCGCAGAGAATCCGCAAATAAAAATATAGTTGAAAAATCAAATACATACATATATAATTCATACTTGATCAGACAAAGCTTTGAAGAGTACAGTTGTAATTTCTGCATTGCCATCTTTGCATGGAGGGTCACTTGAAATTACGCTTACAGTCCCTTTATTGAAGTGTATATTTCAGGACTTTTTGCATGTATCTTTAAATAAAGTAAATTTAGATAATATGTAATCAGACAGTATAACGTGACTGTAAGAACCTTTCAAAAACTACTTCACATAAATTGGCACTATCCACACAATAATTTTCAAGGCGACTTAAAAATAATCTTTTGTTGTATTTGTTAATATTGGATAATACTGGATTAAGAATAAATGTTTGTTTTAAATTATAATTTGATTTTGTTTGTTTAGGAAAGTAGGTTTACACAGATCGGACCCGTATCTAATCTTGTTTACAGGGAGGAGCATATCTTTTATATATTAATTTAGCTTGTCTGTCTTTCTGTTTTTTTTGTATCCAATAAATGTCAAATTTTGTGTGGGACCTTACGTGGCCCCGGCCAGGGAAGGTTTATGAATGATCAAAATTTCAAATATTTGTCTCGCATAAATTTTTGAAAATTTTGAAAATCCACGAAATTTTTTTGTTAAAGTCCGCGAACTTTATGGTTTTGTTTACGATGTACACAAAGAGAACATGTTCACATTTAAAATAAAAGATGGGTACAAAGCACCTAAAAGGCTAGTATGTATATATATATATATATATCAGTATATTTATATATTTAAAGTTGTAATCTCTGCTTGGGTGTCTGTTTGTTTGTCGGATCTAACTCAGGAACCCATTGACCGATTTGTCTCAATGTTTATTGGGGAACTCGTGAGAGCCACGGGAATGGTTTTAGTTTAGTTTTAAGACCCTAAGTTAAGTGGGTCGTCTTAACTATAAGCGAAAATTTTGTTTCTCGGTAAAATTGTTCAAGTGCGGGTGAACGGCGGGTGAATACCCTGGGTTAAGACTGGGTTCCCAAGTTAATCTATATAATAATTATATATTCGGAGCTGGGAACTTTAGAATGTATAAACTTTAATCCTGACTTCTTGATCCGAATATCGACTGTGGAAACTTTTCATTTTGTCCTAATACACTCTTTTTCCCTCTCCTTGGATATCCGTTAATTGTTTTCTCCAATGAGAATATTTCTGTTCTCTCATTGGTTGTCCACTTTTCTCTGATTGGCTGATACAGTTTCTCTGATGATTACAGTTTTTCATACACTTTTAAGATAAACTTAAGATAATCAAAAAGAGAGGATCAAGCATTAATCCCGATATCCACCATTCTAAAGTTTTCAGCTCTGGATTAATCTACTGCTGCAAAATGAAAAATCATGGATAGTGTATTCCTGAAATATATTGCAATGTTTTCATTTGAAGCTGATATTGGTTCTTGTATATCGAAGCTGATATTGGATTTTATATTTTTTATATGTTAGTTATATCCAAGGCCCAACGGATGGACCAGGAGCATCAACATGGCTAAAGATCAATATTATTTTAAGATGATTTTTTTAAAATTACACGGGCAACGCCGGGCATTTCAGCAAGTATTCGAATGTGAAGTGATCGAATAGGCATATAAAACGATTGGTGCCTCTTTTTCTTCAAAAACTATACTTTTTTGGTTCATTTTAAGATTAAAAATAACCAAACTATCGGTGCAGATATTCCACAATTAGTATCCCTATAATTCAGCCGCCTAATTCTGTTGCATAAACCGTGTTGGGTCAACCAATACTGGGCAAACAAGACAGTCTGGAACGGTACCAGACCAAAATCCTTGTACTGGTTCGTACCATGAAACTTTTCAATTAATAAGTCTCATTCTCTCTGAGGATATGATGGCAGTCTTTAAACGAAAATTGCAATTATTTTGAGCTTATTGTAACATCAAGATGTTTTAGACTTATACAATACATATGAAACCGTTTTATGATGTTATTTGCTTTCGAAATGAAATTTTTTCACATTTTATTCAGAATTTTACAAATTCCCTTTCTGATTCTTAGAAGTTTAATTTCAAAGTTTCTAGGAAGAGAGTTTATAGTGGGTGGAATCTTTTACAGAAATCTTTAAGTACATCAGTGCTAGACAATTATTTAAAAAAATTTCAATAAAAAAATCAGTTGAATTTTTAATTTCAATTCAAAAGTTAAACAATGGTTGACAAAAAGATTAACTGTAATTAAAAATATAATTATGCTTTAGCTGAAGCTTTCAAAATCTTTAAAAAGACAAAAAAATATTAATTCCTAATATATGAAGATTTCTTAACTTCAATCAAATGAATTGAACAAAATTAAGATTGACCCTAATCCTACACCTAACCACTCCACTGCTCTCCTGCAATTCCAAATATTTTTAGAAATCCATTGGCTCTTCTTTAAAAACTGTTGTGTTCTAAGACTTGCATTTTCTTTTCTCTTTCCCAATTTTCAATGGACAAGAGAGGTAGAGACTGTTATTAATTATTCAAGTTTCCAGAGTGTAGATGCCCAAACATCTCAGGATTTTCCTGTTGACACTTTCATACTTTTTAAATCTTAATACTTAAACACCTTCATCAGTTTTCCTGTTGACACTTTCATACTTTTTAAATCTTTAATACTTAAGAACCTTCATCAGTTTGGAATTATACAACTTAAGACAAACAACAACAAAAGTATAATTTAAATACTTCATGGGATTTTTCGGATTTTTTCAGCTCTTGAGTCTTGTTTGTTTAAAGATTTAATAAAAGGGGAAAATATTTATGCTTTTTGATTTCTATATTAAGACTCAAATTTGGACAGAATTCAATTTAGTTAAAACTAACTTACTAAATAAGGTAATTTGAAAATTTTCCATTAAAAAAATAAAAAACGGAAATGTCAAAAACAAAAATAAGCATTACCGACTTGCATGATACAAAAGCTTTTATTATTTCAAATTGCTCTTCCAAGAATTTCTATAATCTTCTCGTTTTGAATTCGTTAAGTTTAAACATAAGAGCATAATTATAAAGATATGCTTCCTTCAGTCCGTTTCATGAGAGCATAATAATAAAGATATGCTTCCTTTAGTCCGTTTCATGAGCTAGACTATGGAACTATTCTGTGCTGGGCTGGAAATCAACTTGGGCATCAGCAACTACCTTGTATCTTTCATATTATCCCTGCAGGTATATTATCCTTGTGTCTTTTATATTATCCCTGCAGGTATATTATCCTTGTATCTTTCATATTATCCCTGCAGGTATATCCTTGTATTTTTCATATTATCCTTGCAGGTATATTATCCTTGGATCTTTTATATTATCCCTGCAGGTATATTATCCTTGTATCTTTCATATTATCCCTGCAGGTATATCATCCTTGTATTTTTCATATTATCCTTGCAGGTATATTATCCTTGGATCTTTTATATTATCCCTGCAGGTATATTATCCTTGTATCTTTCATATTATCCCTGCAGGTATATCATCCTTGTATCTTTCATATTATCCTTGCAGGTATATTATCCTTGTATCTTTCATATTATCCCGGCAGGTATATTATCCTTCTATCTTTTATATTATCCCTGCAGGTATAATATCCTTGTATCTTTCATATTATCCCTGCAGGTATATTATCCTTGTATCTTTCATATTATCCCTGCAGGTATATTATCCTTGTATCTTTCATATTATCCCTGCAGGTATAATATCCTTGTATCTTTCATATTATCCCTGCAGGTATATTATCCTTGTATCTTTCATATTATCCCTGCAGGTATATTATCCTTGTATCTTTCATATTATCCCTGCAGGTATATTATCCTTCTATCTTTCATGTTATCCCTGCAGGGGATAACATGAAAGATAGCCCTGTAATTTAAAGGTTAGAACGGAAAGTTCATATCATTAAGGGCATTTACCATTTTTTTTAAAATGACTGATAGTTAACGATCTCAATTTTATTAACGGCGTTAACGGAAAATTTTCAACAATCGTTAAGGGCTCCAGTTGTTAACGGTCTATTGCATTATTAACGGTACAAGGAACTGAAAAAAAATTGTTAACCGTTATGAAATCATTAATGGTGCAGCTGTTAAAGGTCTTTTGTAGTATTAACTGAACAGTATCTAGATATCCAAATTAACTATATTAATTCTATTCTGAGGAGAACCAGATTTTATTACAGCTGGACACACTCCAAATTGTTTTTAATCAAAATTAAGAAATATTAAGAAACATCAAAAGTCAAAACACGTAAATTTTTTGTTGTTGCAAGTTTAATGCAATTTAAAGCAGAAAAAACGAAATTACTTTTTTTGGTTTTTTTAATGGTGTAAAAATTAACTTTGCCCAGCCCTAACCCCTGCAGGGGAATTGTCTTTATATTTCCATGTTATTCGTTTTACACATAAGCCTTTGCAAGCCATCATCGTTATCTTAGATAATGATTGATTTAAGAAATTTCCTCTTTGATTTCTGAAGCAGAAATGCGCTAGAGAAACCTCAATTAAAAATAATCAACTTTTAAGACAACTACACGGTTATTTAGTTAAAACCAGACTTTTTTCTTGTGAATTGAAAAAAAATATTAAGAGAATTAATTAAAATGTTGTTTTACAGGTCCCCCTGAACCCCCTCAGGGATGCAGAATAAACAGCTCAAGCACAGATAGTATCCAGGTACCCCCCCCCACTTGAATCACCTCCGCAGGCCGTTATCTATATCATTAACTCCTCTATTACCCCGTCCATTAATATGTTACTCAAAAATTATACTTACTTAGTGTAAATTTAAAAAAGGGAAACAAAAATATTTACAAAATAAAAACTAAAATCCAGGATATTTGTATTTTTTTAGCCCCTGGATTAGACATATTCAAAATGTATATAAAGTCTCTACTACAGTCTACAGTAGTTTTTTGTAATTTATCCACTAGTCGTATTTGTCCACTGTATAGTCCTTTAATCGTAGGTCTGTGCAGTCCTTTAAGTAGTACTTGACTTTATTTCGTCTGTTCATATTCCATGAAAGTCATTCTGATCGAAGTCCCCTGTCCTTGTTTGCTGTTTGCCAGTAAGGGGTTTTTCCTTGTTTTTTTTTGAGAGGAAGAATTAAAAATGACTGACTTTCTTTAAGTCGAAAACAAAAACATAAATAGAAACCTTATTATAAATGATGCGCGAAGCGCCAAAGAATCTTTGCATTGAGAGTGACTTGAAATTATGCTTACAATCCCTTTAAGAGACAGAGATAAAATGGCAAAAAATTGTAATATCCTTTTTAACTTATTGGAAAACATTGGAAGGATGGGACATATGTTTACTTTCACATTGCGCAAGAGTTATCAAAGTTAAATATTCAAAAAGTTAAAAAGTAATTTTCGATTCTTGGATTACTGTACCTGAGGCCGCGGTTTAAAGAATTTGATCCGCAGCTTAAAAATGATTTGTTCACTTAAAATTGTATTCAATTTTGCATTCAATTGAAACCTGTTATGGGGGATTTGAAACGCGGCTTAAATTCATTAAATTCGGACACTGGCCTGCAATATCCTTTAACATTATAAATTCCAATTTGTCTTTTGGTCACCGAATCATTAAAATGAAAAGTTTTAAAACCTTCAAAATCTCATATCAAAATTTATTACAAAGAAATGAAAATAATTAAGTGGAAATATGTTCAATTTGCAGAATTTAATTTTTGGAATCTCATAATTGGATTTAAAGAAGCTTTACGGTAAACCTTGATAAGTTGAGCCTCTAAATTCTATATAACTGTCTGTATAGTTTGAGCCTCTAAAGCAATTTCTAATTTAATCAATAATCATTCTGATAAATGAGAATAAACAAATTATTAAATATTAAATATTATTAAATATATTCTAGTTTTGTATAACTACCATTTTTCTCATTTTTTAAACGTTTTTTCCACTTTACATACTATAAAATGTCCCAAAATGGTTTTTAAAAAGGAAAATGTGCTAAAATCCAAGTTACCTTTAGTCAAGGTATAGTTTGGCTAAAGGTACTATGGTACCACTCATATTTAAAGCTTATCAAGGAATAAAGTTACATCTTTTTGTGATCACTCATCTCAGAGATCATCCTTTCTGTGATCACTCATGTCAGAGATCATCCTTTCTAAAAGATCATTTTAATACTTTCCCAGATTTAACATCAATGTTGTCCTGAATGGATAAGTTGACTTTTTGCAACTTTTAAAGGGAGTGTCTGGCTAGACAAAGTATTATGACCTTGAAGTGCAGTTATGGAGAGACATTTTTAGATTTCATTACAGACCTATAAGACATACTGTGCAAAAGAGCGTGAAATCGATCATTAAAATTCGCTTGGCGGTAGCTTCAAGGCAGGTATTTAAAGTCTCAAATGAATTTATTAAAAAATCTATACATTACTGCACTCTCAACTCAACAACCATGTAAAGCCAGACACTCCCTTTAAATCCCCTTTTACTAGGTTCATCTCAATGGAAAAAACAAATGTTTTTTTACTGTTTTACTAAAAGCTTAAAGTTCGTAACACAGAAGTTTTCGGTTCTGAGGACAGAGATTTGATGTTGAGCAGAACTTCAAATACTCCTAATTTCAGGTAAAATCTGTTTTTTCTCGCTGGATGATAATGGATGTAAAGCAAGATTAGGTGGTGGGAAAAATGAATTAGTACACATTCAAATTGTTAAGCTTCAGAGGAATTTTTTTATCATTAACTTAATCATTTTAAAATGACTGTCAAAATTCAAACTTTAGTAGAATTGCAAATTTTACAAATTTTTTGAAGAAGCTGTTAAAAAATACCCTTATAACATAATCTTGGCTAGTTGGTGTTTAGAAACTGGAAATCAACGATTTTTTAATCCTTATTGTTTATTGTTTAGGCTTGGCAAACTAGAATATAAGAAGACATTATCTTTATCTATCTACTCCTCAAACAGGAATACATAATACAAATCAGTATACTTTCTACAATGTGAGTAGAGCTGGGTATCGTTCTTTGAATGAAATAATTGTTGTGAATTAACAACATTCTTGTGAAAGAGAGTGTTATTCAGAGAAAAAACGAATGATAGATGAACGAAATGGAAAATTCAGAGAAATGGAAAAAATATAGTTTTTCAAAAACGAACGATATAAAAGCAAAAACAAAGGATTTAAAATCGTTCAAATAAACTTAAAAAGAACAATTTTTTTGGAACAAAATTTTGAAAACAACAATTGTTTTGTAACTGAACAAAGGATTGAACAAAATTGGTCGTTCATGAACGATGAACAAACGAAATGAAAAAAGTTGAATGCGCCCATGTCTATTCTTGATTATTCATTCTGCGCCTTCTAACAAGGGCCTTAAAGGGGATCCTTTGTTTCAGGTTCCTTCTTTTTAAAATTTTTCTGTTCCAAAGGAATTGAGTCTTTGAAACAAATCCCAATTTTATAATACCTATATATCTACAACCAAATTATGTAAACCTTAGATATTCCAAACTTTGATTGTTTGATGTAACAGAAGTCATAGTTTGAAATATCTAAGGTTTACAACATTGGGTTGTCAAGTTATAGGGATTTAAAAACTAGAGTTTGTGGCGAAGACTCATTTCTTTGTTTTTAGATTTAATAACTATATATTGACAATGAATGTTACTGTTTCTTCGTTTTTTGGTTGTTAATGATGGTTGATCGCGTAAAATAATTTACCGTTGAGCTTCCGTTGATTTTTAAAACTTGCCCCTTTGTTAATGGAAAATTGCTCAGTCTAAACTAAATGTCAGAGTCTTTTTTATAGTTTTAATATATCTATTTAAAATGAATCATTTTCAAAAATTGAATAAAAATAGTTTTTTCAATATTTTAAACTTTGAATTGTGGAATAACAATGACAGTACTTTATTCCTTTGCAATGAAAAGCTTATGCAAATTACATTCCTACTTTACAACAATAGAATCTGTATTCTGAGGAGATCACCCTCCATTTAGTTGACAGATTGGAACAAAAAGTATAAAATTATTCAACAAGGATATTTTCTGATTTAGTATAATTTTAAGAATATATGTTCTTTCGTAATAAGTGGGGTTTAAATTTGTTAAAGAAATCCTATGGCAAAATTTTGATATTAAATTTGTAAAACTTTAAATCTTGATTTTGGGAAATTTTAAAAACATTTTTTGGACTATTTCGTTTGTTTTTAGCAAACAAACCCGTAGAAGTAAAAAGAACAGTTCAATTTTAAACAAACATGAGCCCAAATTTAATGAATTTGAGCCGCGTCTCAAATCCGCCAATAACTAGTTTCAATTGAGCACCGGTCAAAATCTTGAAACATTGAATGAGTGGAACTAACCGTATTTGAGCTGCGTCTCAAATTTAAGCCGCAGCTCAATTTTTTTGAATTCGGCCTCTGATTGATCTACAGATTTTAAATTTATTTCCTCATATTTTTAAATTGTGTTATGAATAGTAAGGGAAGAAGTGAGGAGGTACGTTTACCAGATCTAAAATCTGATTTTCTCCTGGAGAATGGACCGATCACGAGAGCTGCAAAAAATACTGAAATCAAGGTAAAATTAGAATTAACTAAACTTACAAGAAAACTTTTGTTTTCTTGTTTACAATTTTGATAAATAGTTAGTCTTTATCAACTCTTCAGATTCTCCGGTTTCAGCCTATTCCCCTGTTCATTTTTCCTTTACAGTCCCTTTAACATACCCACCTTTCATTTTTCCTTTACAGTCCCTTTAACATCACAATATAGCCTGTTATTTCAAACTTGAAAACTTTTGTCTTTGAGAACTTGACTTTTCTAACAAATTAGCTTTAAGGTAAAGTTTGTGAATGCATAACTCTGAAATTATGTTAAATTACTGACATTTTACCAGTTTAAAACTTTCCGCATAAACAAAATTGTCTGGTTGCAGTTTGTTGTTATCAAAAAGATTAAGATTTAATGATTAAGTTTTTAACCTTCTTTAGGACTAGTAAACTGAGTTCTTTAGGACTAGTAAACTGAGTTCTTGCCAAAATGTTTCTAATTTATATTTCACTAGCTGAAGGGCCCCCGCGAAAAAAAATTTAAATAAAAAGATAAAAAAAATTTTAATCTTGGAGATTCCTCTCTCAATGATGAAAAAGTTCTGAAAATAGAAGAAAAGATTTGGTTTAGCAATACCATTTTAGGCTAAAGAGGTTAATTACCAAGGGCTAAAGGACAAACATATTAAATGGATAGGCCGAGGGGTTCAACTTTGGTTCCGGAAAATAATTCGATTATCAAAACTATTCTAGTTTGGTCGGAGAATAAAACTTATTCAGTCTAAATAATGAGATCCCCTGGGCCCAACTTATCCCTAATATTCAGAAAAGTTGTTTCAATTTCCACCTAACATGCTGAACCAATTTGTAAAATTTCCATAAACTGAGAATATTGAACAAGCCTACCCATCCCCCTATTCTCTCATCTTTTGTCAAATATTTCGTTTAACCCTATATAGGCTGGGGGGTCTGAATCTTTGTATAGCCTGGGGGCCCCCTCTAGAAAAAGGCCTTAGAGAATAGGTATAGGGTTGAAATGCATGTGCATAGCCCAATTTTTCATGGCCAGCTCAAAGAACAAAAATAAGGCCGATAACTTTAATAGTTTGGGTGCTAGAGGGTGGGAAAAAGGCCTTAAAAAGGGACAAAAAAGGAAAAAAATATTTTTTTGTTTTAGACAAATATCAAAGTGTGGCACATGCTTCTACATGCATATTTTCAAGGGCTTTTAAAAAATATAGTTTTTAGATCTGTAGCTTTGGTCACAGAAAAGTTATGGGCTATTTTAGATTTTTTTTCACAGACCAGACTTTTTTCCGCCCTGTATCCTACCCTATAAATTTAGAAAAATATGTTTTAACAAAAAATCCTTTAAACTACTATTTATTAAAAGTCACAAAATTTCACGGTGATAGCTTCAAAACTGAGAGTGCTAGATCAAAAAAACTACAGGGGGAGCGCCAAACACCAGCATAGATAAAAAAACTTATATCCTGAGTCTAATGTTTATTTAAGAAAAAGTAGCCAGTTAAACCTAACGCCAAGTTATTACTAACAGTTTCCTAAAATACTCTTTTATTGTTTAGGGAGAAGAGGATGAAGATGAGAGTGTTGGAGAAGTGAGACAGGAGAACCTCATGAGTATAGTGCTTGGTGTATCCGCTGCCCTTGTCATTATCCTCCTAGTAATACTTATCACCATGTCCATTCGGTGTGGGAGAGATAGCAACAGGTACATAAACATTATACAGCTTGCTTCAGGTTCACAAACATGATACAGCTTGCTTCAGGTTCACAAACATTATTCAGCTTGCTTCAGGTTCACAAACATTATTCAGCTTGCTTCAGGTTCACAAACATTATTCAGCTTGCTTCAGGTTTACAAAAATTATTCAGCTTGCTTTAGGTTCACAAACATTATTCAGCTTGCTTTTCACAGGTTCACAAAAATTATTCAACTTGCTCCAGGTTCACAAAAATTATTAAGCTTGCTTCAGGTTCACAAACATTATTCAGCTTTCTTCAGGTTCACAAACATTATTCAGCTTGCTCCAGGTTCACAAACATTATTCAGCTTGCTTCAGGTTCACAAACATTATTAAGCTTGCTTTTCACAGGTTCACAAACATGATACAGCTTGCTTTTCACAGGTTCACAAACATTATTCAGCCTGCTTTTCGTTGATTTTTTGTTTTGCTTTCAGTGTAGAGTCTAGAAACATTAAATTGAACCATCATTTTTTAAGGACAAAAAATAAATAATAAACTAGGAATCAATTTCTTAGTTTCATTAATAAACAAACAATTTCTATAAATATAATTTGTAGAAACATTAAATAGAACAATAATTTATTAACGACAAAAGATAAATAATAAACTAGGAATCATTTTTTAGTTCCATCAAGACATAAACAATTTCTATAAATATCATTTTAATTCCCACTCAGTTAATGGAGTAAAAGTTAAAGTTTGATTTCTGCGTTTGCAATTTTAATTTACAACAACATGTATCATATCACCATTGTCAAAAATATGCATCAAAGAAAGTCAGGGATTGGGACCTATTCTGTTTTCCTCAAAACAGCAATGGGTTTTATTTAAGGATTCTAACGATATAGGATAAAAAAAACATTATTCATTGCCACTGATCAGATAACCAAAAGATATGTAATTTGCATCCATATAATATCATACAATAAAAACTACTGGAAAGCATGTTAAAAGTAGCCTTTTTAACTGCAATTCCTAAACATTATGCCTCAAATAATGTGCCTAGAACATTTGTAGTCATATTCATTTTATAGTACAAAATCTCTTTGCTATAATTATTATGAAAAGATAGAACAAATACAATTTTCAATTCTCTTAAAGGGACTGTAAGCATATTTTAAGTGACCCTCCATCAAAAAGATGGCAATACACTTTTCAAAACTTTAAACTATACACGGGTAGCCGTAGTACATTTGAATTTCCGAGTCGGGTCAACCTTTCCGGTCGCACTTTGTACTGTACCTACCTCTATGGACAGGACTAGCCAGTGCAACAAGGTTGACGCGGTCAGACTCAGAGGTTAAATTTACTTTTACGAAAGGGTCAGAGGTGCATGTATATAGTAATTATCTAAAAACGGTAATATCTTCCACATTATTGATCAGATAAAGGTTTTAATGGTACTCTTGTAAATCGACCATTGCAATCTTCACAAGGAGGGTCAATTGAAGTTAATTACATATTAATTGACATTGTAAACATAATGTTTAGAAACTGGGGAGCCAGAGATTCTGGTGGTTCAACCTCTCCTGACTACCTGGTAAATGCAGATCCAGGTATGAATTATAATTGCTTTACATTTTGAAATTTATACAATTTTCTGTTTTTTAAATTTGCATAAAAAAGTTTACCATTTGTTAGAAAGCTGAAAGAGCTTTTTGAAGAATTTATTGTAAACAGGCTAAAATAAAAAAAAACACGATAAATTATCAATACATTTAATACATTACATGGCAGCTCTTAGACAAAAAAAGGGTTTATATCTAATACTTAAAAAAGTTCGGACAGAAAATATGAGAGTTGATATTAGCTTGCATCAATAGATTCATGAATTTAAACCCACATAAGGAAGTAAGCTTTTTATCTAATAAATACATTTATAACTTTTACTTTGCTCATATTTTCAGATGCATAATACATCACTCTCTATCCAATAAATATAAATACATCTATATTCTACAGTAGGAGCCTTATATATTTTCTGTGTCTGATAAGAGAGATGGTTGTGTATAGAATAACACTATTGGTTATCTGATAAACATGTCTGCCTGATATTCAATATGTCTGAGTGTGGTTGAAGTCTAGGGTTGAAGTATCTAGTCCCAATCGGAAGTGTAAAGACTAGAGTGTAAAGAGGAAAGCCAAAGAGAATCTCTGTTTTCCTGGAGTAATTGATAGCTAAATGCCTATTTGTTTAACTCATGTATCTACTGGACATTTAAGCAAAAAGTAAGTATTTTTGAAAATATACTAGAAGAAGATGGTCAATTTTAGGGAAAAACGACTAGTTTTTAATGTCATAGATTTTCAATTCTTTAAACTTTAGTTTTTAAAATGAAGTAGAAAAACAATGTAAAAAATTATCAAACTCAATCTAAAATGGTTAGTTTGATTACACAATTTGGAAAATTTTATTCCTTTGTAAGTTCGTACTTTCTGACTTGGCCACTTTGTTTCTTTGGGTGTAATTCAACTACCTTCCTAAACAAACTGTTTTGCTACTTAGCGATTTCCCTAAAGACCTAATATATGTACCGTGTGGTATTTCTTAGAAATCTTGCGCCTGCGTAGTCAGTCTGTAAACAGCTTCCAAAACTAGTTTTTCACAATACGTTCTGTACAGATCCGCAGGGAGAACTCAGAAACTCACAGGGGCATCAACTAGACTTTATACACGGAGCATGGCTCACGTAACACAAACACAATGTTGGGTTCTTTAAGATTCTTTAACACTAAGAAAACTTTAAAAAGGGTGAAGACCCATGGGAAGTATATAATATATAGTGAATGGTTTGTACCCATTAGAATTGTATAGAGTGTACAATATTAGATATATGAAAGGAGAATACCTTGCAAATGTAATCAGCTGTTAAATTCTCATCTTATAATTTATTTTATTAAGGATTAAAATAAATTATGGTTCTCTTTCACTATGGAGTGTGGACTCATAACTCTTTTTTTAAGTAAAGTGATTAATTGAAAGGAAGTAAAGTATATTTCTTGACATCAATTCAATTTTAAATTAGGATACCACTCCTGACCTCTAGTCAACACTTTTTAACACTCTTTTCAACTTTGTTGAATGATGTGTCTTTCTCCAATTGTCAATTTGGATGTTAAAACTTATAACTCCCAAATTTTCAACCACAAAATTTAAGCTAGCAATGATCCCTTAGAAATTTTCTCCTGTCAATTTCATAATGACAAACTTTCAACTACCTTATTTTTCATGGCTTAACTGACATTTCACAAAATGTTTATTTGAAAAAGTGATCACATGGGAAAGTTGTAAAACATGTCATGGTACCTTATCATGTCCAAGATTAAACTTATTAGTTGTAAGATGCTTTGGAACAAACAAATAATACTGATTAGGTTGACATCCAAAAACACTTAGTGGTGCTGCCAGTGCCACACAGTTTCCATAAAAAATTCTGAAAAATTCAAATTTATGTTTATATGTTGTAGATGGTGAATTCCAGTGCCATGGCACTAGGTCAATATCTACAGGCTCCATTACATCAGTCTCACCACACCCTATTTCTGCTACAGGATCACTGCCTCTACCAAGGAGGAATCATGCACCAGCCCTCCTCACTTTACAGTCCCTTCCGCCCCCACCTCCACCACCCTCAGGGAAAATTGATCCAGCCCTGGTAAAGTTATATTTCTGGAAGATTTGAAATTTTATCTCTGAAGTTAATCAATTATGTTTTTTCCACTGTTCTGTTTTGGTGCATCTTTGTGCATAAGTATTTTTGCCTCAATTGTTCTTATTGTGCAGAATTTGACACAACCTCGGGTGCAGAAATAAAAAATAGTTGGCAAAAAGGTTGCAAAATAATAATTTATAAAGGGGCCATGCCAAAATAAAAATGCAAATAAAAAAATTAGATGAAAAGTAAAAGTTTTTTTTTGACAGAATTCTGCAAATATTTAATGTGGAATTTTGTTTTCACACCATTTCTTGGAATATGCAAAATAAAGCGAAAACTAGCTTTGGGGAAAGCCCTAGTTTAATTGGGAAATAAAAATGGAAAAAATAACTTTTGAAAATTTTTTTTTTACAGAATAAATGTAGTACTTAAAGTTTGTAATCCGCGAATTGTTCTAGTTGAATGATGATCAGTGTACAGACCTATCCCCTCCCCCGGAGTGGGCCAGCACTCTTCTCCCCCCACCAGACTCATTCTTTACCCTACCAAGAAAAGGAGAAAAGCTGCACAACCGGAGTGTAAGGAAAGAGGCAAACCCAAAATCTAAAAAGATCTGAAAAAATTAATATTTGAATAAGGTCTAAGATATTTAAATATTCCCAAGTTTCCAAGATGAAAACTAGTTTCATGCTTCCGTAAACTGCAAAGAAACGTTTTCATGAAAACACAGACCTTTTCTTTGCTTTCCTACACTGTAAAAACATTTCAAATAAAACTCGGTTATGAAAATAAAACCTTTATATGGATAAATGACATTTAACATTTCAGCGATTAAAGTCTTTATGCCAAATAAACGCTGCTCTTTGTTATATTTTCCCCCAACGTTTTAACCCGCATTTTGTTCATTTGCTTTCAAAGATTTTAGTTTGTGCTTTATGATAAGGTTTGAGAAACAGGTTCACAGCAGATCAATAACAAGCCTGGATAATATTCATAAATCAAATTCTCACGTTGAAAGCATTGTTTGAAAAATGATGAATAGACAGGAAATGGAGAAAAGTTGTATGCAGCAAAATTCTGAATGTATATCTATATCTACGTGTGTGGACTGAAGTTTATAAAAGGGGATGGTGGAGTTGGCACATTTGATGTAGGGGGGGGGGGCCCTGCCTTCATTTTTGATTCAAATCTTCCAATTTTTTGGGTACGCGCCTAATTAGGGTTCGAAATTCCTATAATAAAATAAAATTGAACTTTAATGACCTCTAATGACCTTCCCTTTTGTGGATTTGAATTTAGAAACTGAAGTTAAATATATCCATCGTGTAAATAATTCAAATGCAAAAATATGTGTGTAAGGTGTTGCATGGAAATATATTTAAACTTGAGATTTTTAAAAAGATTTTTTTATCAAATTCTTATCTTTGCTCAGCTAATTATTCAAAAAAGTCATTTAAAAGCAAAGAAAATAATTAAAATAAGATACCATTAAGGAATCCCAGATTAAGTCTACAATATTTATATTTGTCAAATTGTTTTATTTTTTTTTTAAACTTTGATATTTTGATGATTAACTAATGAAATCTTTATCAAATATTAAAAAAAAATACTTAATTTAATATATTCAATTTAGTTGAACATTAAGAAATTGAACGCCCTCCGTATCATAATTTCCTAATTTCAATATCTTAGCAACCTAATATTTTAGACCTATTTTAAATTAAGAAAGGACTATGAAATTAGTGTACAATTAATTTAAGCTTAATCCCAATTATCTGTTCCAACACTTCTTATAAACACAAATTTAAGATTTTATTATTTAAAATTTTTGTTTGTTTTTTGCTATGAACCATTTTTCTGAGGTTCTATTTTTGCTGTGATGATATGAACTGTGATAACTCTAAATTTAGAAAATTTGAATAAAATGTCAATTTAACAAATAAATCATTTTTCTGCACTTCTTGAAAAATGACAATAAATTTATGAAAAAAAATAAAGAAATTGCAACAATTAGATTGTGATTTTTGACCCAATTTACACTAGCTATAATTTTTAACATCTATCATTTTTTGGCAATGTTATTGCATATTCAGAACAGGATAGATTACTTTTATTTTTTTGACTTTCATAATAATATGAGACTGTTATTAATTGCCATATGAACTCATATGTAAGGATGATTTCATTTGTCACTTAGTCAGAGTCAAGAATGTAAGGCAAGGAAAGTTTATTGCGGTCGTGTATACTCTGCGTACATATTGAAACCAGTTCATTTTGGGCGGAATTTGTAAACAAGAATAGATGCATCAGTGTTCGTTTAGTATCCGAGGAGGTTAAAAGCATTAAATTTTGAAAATTTTGATAATTCACATAATAGTATCCTATTATTATTTCATCGATTTTTTATGTGAAAGATGGATTCCATTTCAGGCTCCGACATCCGTCTTGTGTTTACATTACCGCCCAGAGACAGTACACTGCAGTACAAAAGATGTGTACACTTCTGAAATAACTATCCTTGCCTTACAATCCTTGGTCAGAGTATACAATTTTTTAGGTACTGATATCCATACATGCAATCAAACAACTTTCTAATGTAAATTAAATATTTACAAATTTGTATATAAATTCATAAATATACATTTTAAATGAATATACAAATTGTAAATTTGCAAAAGCTACAAGCTCACTTAAATGTAAATGGCCATGCAAATAAAATAAAAGAATAATCTTTATTTTCCTGTCATTTAAATTATTTAAATTTTTGCTCGCGAACAGTGGGTCTAAAAAAACTGCAGAAAACAAAACAAAAGACATTTAAGAAATATTATGTGTATCGTCTGTTGCACGGGGAGCCGTAGTACATTTGAATTTCCGAGCCGGGTCAACCTTTCCGGTCCCAGTTTGTACTGTAACTAGCTCTATGGACAGGACTACAACAAGGTTGACGCGGTCAGACTTTATGCTTCATATAGGTTGAATTTTACTTCTAATAAGAGGCAGAGGTGCGTGGTTGGTGTGTATTTTAGCTTTAATACACTGCAAACCAAGATGTGCTGGTGCATTTTAGATGTGCACTATAGATTTGCACTAAAGATGTGCACTATAGATGTGCACTATAGATGTGCACTATAGATGTGCACTATAGATGTGCACTATAGATGTGCACTATAGATGTGCACTATAGATGCGCACTAATATATATGCACTATAGATGTGACCTATAGATGCGCACTATAGATGTGACCTATAGATGTGCACTATAGATGTGCACTATAGATGTGCACTATAGATGTGAAATATAGATGTGACCTATAGATGTGCACTATAGATGTGCACTTTAGATGCGCACTATAGATGTGCACTATAGATGTGCACTATAGATGTGCACTCACTATAGATGCGCACTATAGATATGCACTATAGATGTGACCTATAGATGCGCACTATAGATGCGCACTATAGATGTGACCTATAGATGTGCACTATAGATGTGCACTATAGATGTGCACTATAGATGTGCACTATAGATGTGCACTATAGATGTGCACTATAGATGTGAACTATAGATGTGCACTATAGATGTGCACTATAGATGTGCACGCTCGCACGTAAAAGGCAGCCAGCAGTGTTAATCCAATTACTACTTTTAAACTACAAACAACAGATAAGCATTTTACAAAAAAAGTATCGGTGAGTTTGGGCGGTAAAACAAAAGGCCACGGCGTTGCTACACTTTAAAGACGAAGTTTTCTAAAATTTAATGACCAGCTTTCAGAGTTGTCTTGCTTACAGTGAAAATTAACTTAAATTTAATTAACTGTGTTTCAAAATCTTTGGACTGTTAAAAATCATATCTTTAGTCGTCATCATATTCCAAAGTCGGCAGTCCTACACTCAATACATTTTGAAAGAAAAAAATATATGAAAACGTAGCTGAAAGATTATCATCAATATGTATTGGATTAATCCCAAAATAGATTATTATCAGATTTTCTTAACAACACAGATGTCTGGTTTTATTGTACAGCTAATGCAGTGTATGTATTCTATACATATTCTATTGAAAGCCTGATCATAAAAAGATCTATATTATATTCATTTTATATATATACTAGGCTTTCAGGGCGCTTCTCGCCCATCTTCTATTTCAATTGTGAACATAATCTCCTTGTATTAAATGTAAAACAAAAACAAAAAATTTTGCGGATTTTATAAAAAAAGATTTGTGTATCTTCCAAATTTTATTAAAAATTTAATTGGTCAGAAGCTAATTTTTTATCATTCAATAACCTTCCCTGTGGTCATGTGAGGTCCCACACAAAATTTTGGCCCGATCGGTTCAGCCGATTAGACGTTTATTGGACACAAACGGACAGACACCCAGACAAACAATACAAAGTATATATGTAGATACATGACAACTGAGAGGCTGCTCTGATTAGATACAAATATGATAATGTCGATAAGAATATTAACAATTAGTTTGCTGTCATAGAAGGGTTTTATAATACAAAAGATGAAAATATCAAATTCAATACCTAATATTTGCCTTTTTCTTTTATAATTTTTTGTCAGCAAATACATGTGTTTTTAATAAACAAAAAATATAAAAAGACAATTCCTAAGTTTCAAAATTGTTGAATTATTTACCAAAATAAGTCAATACCAACACTAAATTCGTATTATATTTTGATCTTAGTAAACAAGCTATTTGTAAAAACTGTTCTCATGAATTAAAGCCACATCATGGTATGGTTTGACTCAAAGAAGCCTTTCGCACTTAATAAAAGCTTGCTAATTAATTATGCCAGTCAAGATGAGTAAATAATACATAAAACAGTTTTGATAACTAAATAAATATCATGCTAAGTATCATTTCCCAGTGCAACCCAGCAAACAGAACAGGATAAAAACTAGTTATGAAATGCCAACTTAAAGGGAGTGTTCGCGAAAAATGAAAGGGGCTTTTTAATCTTACTTCTATCTGTTGCGTATGTATGGAGAAAATTGTTAAAAACTACTTAACCTGAAGAACATATTGTCCATACAAATTCAGAAAGTTGCAATATACGACTCTAATCGTAAAAAATCAATTTAATTTCAAACAAATAATTCAGATATTACAACCTAAAAATATCGATTATTTTTCGACGCATTCGTATATAGTTAATATTTCATAATATTTTTTATATACAATGCACTTAAAATGACGTTTTTTCCGCTAGGTGTCTCCCAAAGTATCGTGAGCAGAGACATCTGGCGGCCAACTATAATTTCGGCGTTGTAATTTTTTTTTACTTCAGTCCCGTCACACCTTTATCTGATCAATTATGTGGAAGGTATTAAAGTGTTTAATTCTGATACTTCTGAAAATTCTGAAATTTTTAGTAGATAAACCACCGTAGATAAAACAAAGAATGCAGGGGCAACGCATCATTTTTTGAGGGAAAAGGGTCCAAGAGGTGGAATAAGAATATATTGCGATTAACCATGAAAGCCAATAATCATAAGTATTCGCTCTAACTTGATATATTAACTTGTTTTTTGTTGGACTGTAATATCACATCAGAGCTGTAGTCCTTTCCCTTCAACTTCTGTGGGGGCGCTGGGTTTGTTTATATTCCTCCCACGGTGTACAGTACATAATATGCGTTTGTATGAGTTGGGTGTTCCTGTATATAGTTCCTTGACATCAACAAAACTGTGTCCAGTCCAATGCATGGTCGTATGGCAACCGTTTCTCTATAGTTAACATGAACCAACATAAAAGTAAGTGGTAAGGGAATACCCTAGCAGTTCAGTAAATATATTGCAGAACGTAATAAAGTTTTGCCGAGAAAATATATGTATATACATCTATCTAATGGTTGGTTTCATATCCCTTGTGTATTTGAGGACATATGCCGGGGACACAATATTGTATATTATAATTTGTAAAGCCTGTAGAATATCCAATATTTGTATATTCTGCACAAGAAATATTGAGAATCTAAACTCTCACAGCCTCACAGAATAAATGATAATAAACACCGAATATTTGCATTATATTTTTAAAATGTTTTCGAAGATTTTTTTCTTTCTGCATATTAACATGTGAGAAAATTGTTTTTCATA